AAACAGAAATGTTATTCACTGTTCTGTTTCTCTTCAGATTTTGGTTGTAGGCCTATGTGCACACAAGTATCCTACAATACATCTAGGAACATATTTGTAGTTGTAATTTTGTTGTTGTTGTTTTATATTCAGGTTGCTGTTGACTGGCTTTCGTTGGATTATCTGTGGGAACGTGTCTGTTGTGTAAATAGCCTAAAATACCCAACACCTCAACTTATAAATACACAATACGATTATTTTAAGATGACACAATTTCGAATCATTGAAAGATTTTAGTGATATTGCACAGGGATGTATTTATTTTTTTATACAAATTTTGGTGATTATTTTTAAAAAGGACCATGAACTACTTTTTCTGGGTAACTTTTGTTAACAAAACTATATTTCTCTCCAGGGAACTGTAGCTGTTCAACTTCTTCCATTGTGAAGGAGCTGGCAGCTTAGAAAGTTATACTTTCAAAGTTTCTTCTTTAACACTGCCTTCCTTACCTCTTTGTTTTTTGTCTTCTCCCATGCCATTCATTCATCCACCCATCCATCTGTCTGTCTGTTTCCATCTGTCTCCCATGGATGGATCCAGGTGTATCTGTCTGTCAATATCTCAGAAGCAACTGATCCAATTTTGACAAAACTTGAAGGGTATCATGCTCTTGTTCTAAAATTCCAGGTGTGAAATGTTCTCAAAGCAGCTGGCGAGATGGACACAGACACACTTGGCAACAGCAACATTAAATTGTTGATTCTGCTGTAGTCTACATATAACAGCTTTGTCAAATTAACTTTAGCTGATGGATCAGTTTAAGCAAACGAGTGGAAAGGCAACACAAACATTACAAGTATTAGGCATATATACATCATAAGGATACCAGATAAGGAATAATAGTGTATGGATCAGTACCACACAGCAGTGCATGTACTGTATACAGTCCTGTATACAGTACATTCACAAAGTATTGAGACCCCTTCACTTTTTTCACATTTTGTTACATTGCAGCCTTTCTGAATGCACTGCATGTACCTGTATGCTGCTTTATATATGCCTTTACATATGCTGATAACATTTTCAAGATTTTAAGCCTTGACATTTTCTGCAGATATTTTGATTTGGCATCGACTCCAGCACTTGTTTACTCTTGTTTATGGTGCTGTAAATTAGTTTAATGATATGTAAGCCCAAATGGAATATGCAGATTTTTTATTTATTTTTTCATTTATTTTTTACAGTTTTCTGCACTGATCCGAGAGGAAATTCTGCAGAATTTTCTGGCTCATTACATGATATCAGACAATGTTGAAATAATAACAATTGTGTTTTGAGCAAATACGGGCACCTAAAACTATTTCAATCTGACACTTTTAAGTTATTTTTTAGCCATTTTTGTCTTTAGTACGATAGGGGCAGTGAGAGAGAGAGAGAGAGAGGAAAGTTGGGGAAGGGAGGAGAGGGGATGACATGCAGCAGAGGGCCCGTGTCAAATTCGAACCCAGGCTTCTGTAGTAATGACTGAGCCTAAATGGTATGGTAATAGTATGCGCTCTACCAGGTGAGCCACCAGGACGTCCCTGAATCTGACACCTGTCATTTTTCAGTTACTATTCAAAAGGCTCCAAGTGTGAACACAACATATTTCGCAGTATAATATTGCTTTGAGTAACCAAGAATCTACCTTAACCTAAGTTAACGTATATGCAAGTACAGGTCCTGAAGGATGCATAGATGTCCTGTATTATTCACTGCACAATGACACACACATATACAGATTTGAAGAGAGTGAAGGTTTTATTCCTTGGCTAGCAAAACTGCTAAAATGCATCCCACTCCATTTTACTATTTTTCATAGAACTAATCCCAGCATGTGAGAAAGGAAAACTGCATGACTGCCTTCTCCAACACATTTGAACCAATCAGTGTCTCACTTTAAACTCACACTCAGATTCTGCTGTCACTTATGAGAGCCAGGATTTTTCAGGGAGTTAAACTGACGCACTTAAAAAGTCAGTGATGTCTTCAGGAGCTCCAGAGGAGATTCGCCACCAATTGGCACACACACACACACACACACACACACACACACACACACACATACACACACATGCACAGTGGGCTAAAAAGCGTACAAATCAAGCTGTGACAGAGAGTGAGCGTCGATTGTCTCAACAAAGCAGGGAGCCACCTACAGCTGAACAATCCCAGAAAAAAAAAAAAAAAAGACAGCGAGATTGACGGGTGGAATTGGAGAAAAATCAAAAATGTTCATGGCGTTCAGCCCGTCTGGCTCATATTTATGACTTCAAATGATTCATCTCTTTCTCTCTCATTTCTCTTCCTTTCCTTCACCTTCTCCCCCCATTTGGTTCGCCCTCTTTTTTCTCAACTGCGCCATCTTACTTCTCCTGTCTCCATCAGGCTTTTGCTTTATTTCTCTCTCATGCTGCTTTTCCTCTATTTCTCTTGATTTTCTTTCCTTCCTTCCATGTTTCCTGCCCCTGACGTCTCTCTCTGCAGTAGTCTGATGAAAGCAGGCAGAGACCTGAAGAAGGAAAATTTGGGTACATCAGACGGTTCTGTTTCCATGTTCTCGTTTGTTTTCAACAGCAAAGGCTGCATCTTCATCTGCCTACAATTGCTGAATGTTCAATCTCAACTGAAATGTTCCTTCAAAGAAGAAAAAGTACACCACACAATTAAATCCAATCATTTGGGATTTATTAGAGCATTGATTCTACATGACTTAGAAGATGAATGACGACAGGTCAGGATTGTATTTGTCTATACCCGGTTCACTTAACACTACTTTTTGTAGATGAACAGTATATTTTGGTAAATCTGTGTAACATTATTCCAACAAATTACTGAAGGTTGTTTCAGTTTAGGAAGTAGGTCAGAATGAGGTTTTCATACAAGAAAGTTTAAATGTAACTTCAGAGCATTGAAGGAGCTATTTGTAAGTTCTGCTATTGCTAGGAGGAGACTTCCTCCTCTGTCCCTTTCTGTCCTCTTCTCACCTGTTCTCCACTCCTCCTCCTCCCTTTTCCCTCCTTTCTCACTCCCCTAATCATCGCTTCACCCATTCCTGGTTCTTCACCTGGTCCACAGGTTGTCCTGTCCTTTCCCCTTACTCTCTTATTCATTTTCCCTCATGGCTTGCCCAGCGCGCCGAAAATGAAACCATCAAGAGTTTTGCGTCAAGCCCGAATGCTCCGCAAGTTGTCGGGCAACCCATAAATAGCTATTTCCCCAGTACAGTACTAATAAAGCTGCTTTGATTCACCGGTCCAGTCAGAGAGACTGAGAGGAAATAACTCCAAGTTGAAGTTATATTATAAACTTCATAAGATTCGGGGCTTTTGGGTGAACACCCGCGGCTGGAGTAGTAGTGAAACATCACATAGTGTGATTCCTCTGACAGTGTTCGCTTGAGATCACTTATGGGGATACCTTGATGTGCTTAAATTGAATACTTTATTCTCTGTCAGGCACCTGTCAGGTGACAGTGAGAAGAAGTTATTGTTCAGATGCTCTTAGAAGAGCTGCTGAAATGTATATAATAGTCAAGGGGACACTGCTGGAGTCAGGATGTTTTTTCATAGTTCTTCAGTTTCAGGTAGATGATAAAGAAGGTGATCAAAAGGAGGCTTCTGTAAGAGGCAGGCCAAAAAGACATTTAATGGGTAACAACAAGTCAGGCGGGAGTGAAGCAGAAGGCTGCAATGCTGAGACACAATCAAGAAAGAAAGTGCGCAGGCTTGTGTACTGACGAGTCTATGAGTTAACTGATAACAGGTGCGTTCCTACGAGATGCAGGCGATGATGTGAGGCAGAAAACACTGAGGGCACCTGCAGGGCGTGAAGGGAACAGCAGGCTTTGGAATCACTCAGACCTACAATAGTGGATGGTGGGCATGTAACAGGTCAAAGTTGTAGGGCCTAAAATTGGCAAGAATTTTTTTACTGTGTACTACTCAGTAGCGTTCAGTTAGATTTCTTCTTGACTTTTCTAATACCACAAAATACAAATATATATTTTCTTTAAACGTGTTTAACCATGTGTTCATGCTTGAATTTCCACATTAAATTAAAGATATACCCCAAATTGACACGATTAAAATGGCTTGTGATCCACATCGGTGTATTTGAACGCTTAACATATATTCGTATTATTTGTATTTATTCTTGACGTGATCTTTCTGCGTCGTATGATAATGATGTTGCAGCCATTTACAGGAGCAAGGTTGCATTTTGTCTACTTGTTGTAATTTTAAAGTACTGTACCATAGACTTCCAGTGTTTCAGGGTTCATGGACGACAAACTTGTGGAATTTATTTAGTAGATAAAAAACCATTACCTTTTTTATTTTCAATTTAGGAGGTTTTCACATGTTCACTGCAGCGTGCTGAGCTCCTTAACACATTCACAGATCAGTATTCTCCGCCTGCTATTTTAACTGTGACCTCACATTCTCTTCTCTGCATTGAAGAAAAAAAACAAAACAAATATCAACCAAAAACCCTTCGGGTTATCAATTCTTAGGATTGTATGCTATTATTTGTTTATCTGTAAAATAATAGTGCTTATACATAGTGCTTCTGTGTGGAATATTGCTGTGTTTTTGATGTACAGAAGCTACAATTTAGATTACACTGCCACAAAAACAATCTGAAAATTGTTGTGGCACTGATGTAAACTCCAATCTTTTGTTCTTTAAACAGGAAGAAACAATTAACTAATCTCCTAATGATATGAATGATTCTGATTTAATTGTGCATCGTAACAAGAATCTTAAGTTAAAATCCTTGTAATTTTGGACTGAAATCTAAAACATGAATTTACAAAACAGCAACCTATTCGACATCGGCTGAAGCCTCCACCAACTGTTTCCCATCCCCTCTGCTGTCATGCACGGCAACCCTGTCTATAAGAAATTATATTTATATACAACTAAACTGGCACAGTGCACAGAGGTTAAAATGATCGATTTATTGTCTGTGTCTCAGGCATGTTCCATACATCGTACTGATCCATCATGATGGCCAGACACAGCAGGTAGGACTCCATCAATGTTTGGCATTTTCTGTCTGCCGTGCTTTTCATCACACCCATCCCCCACCCCTACACCCCACCCCCACCCCTTTCTGTGCTCTTTATATTTCCACATTGACATTCTGAATGTCAAATGGATGAAGTGGTGACATGTAAAGAAGGTTAAATATTGCTGTGCAGTAGGTAGAATCTGTCTGCCTCACTGTGGCTTGATGTAGGATTTTGTTATATACAGTCACATCGGGGAGATCTCTAGTACAAAATAAATCTTGTCTTGTCTGGATTTGGAACGGTTTGGGGTCAGACACCTTATCAAAGTCATATATAGACCGACCTTAGAGACAAAGAAACTGCCAACTCATGAACACTCATTTAGAAGTGTACTGTAAATGTGCAATTAATCAACTTTACACTGCAAAAATCTCCAGCTTATCAAGTCATATCTGTTGATAATTCCATCCTCAAATGTGCAATGAGACCATTTCACTCTAATCAAATTAGGAAAAATGAAACTTTATCTGAGAAAATGCCAAAAACACTTAAAATATAAACAGTTAAAATATTCTGCTGCACTGGCACTAAGAAAATAAGACTTTGTGGACTGAATAACTTTCTTGTAATAGATTATTTTAATATAAGAGGCCCAGAGGAAACAGATTTTATTTCACTATAGACTGGTCGTTGGATATACAACAGCTTAATTTTATTGTACACATATACAACACCATAAAACTAGACAAAAGAAATAAAAAAGATGTGCCTGGAAAGGCTAATAAGCCACACACCATAAAGACTGAGTAAAATACAAAGAAAATAAATGAAAAAAAGGAAACAAACAAAATAGGAACAGAAGAGTTCACCAAATCAAAGGAAAATAATCATGTAAAAAGAGAAAAAATAAATAGATAATACAATAGAATAAGTTAGACAAATCAAACACTAATGAGACATAATGAAGTATACTGTATGTAAATTATATATTTCTTCTTAAACTTATTTTTTTAAAAATGACATATCTTTAATTACTTATTTAACTTAAGTCAACAGGACACTGGTATATAGACACACTGAGTCATGAAGAACGCTTTGGCTGATGAAAACCTGCGCCAGTTGTCCAATATAGAAGACAGTTGCAGTTGCACCAGCACTATTTCTTTTTTAACCAACGACTCTGCATAAAGTTTCCCAGATGATATCTGTCAAATTTATATTTACATTCTATTAGAGTACAACGTTAATGTTTTATAAAGTCACAATTGCCATTCCAGAAGACACAAAAACATTGTTTCCCTCTGCGGCAACAGAGGAATCTAAAAATGTACGGGAGTAATTTGCACATCTGTTCGACTCAATTTGGGCCTCGCTACACAAGCACAAGTCTCAGTGGAGATTCTTTTCTTTTTAGCTGCTGCTCATGTCAAAGTCAATTGAATGACCACATAAAACAAATTGAAATGCATTTGCTTGAGGGAGATTTGAAAGAATTACTACTAGAGAGACAGGAGTGGGGGGGGGGGTAGTTATCTCAAACAAACTGTTGACAGTGGATATGAAATAAAAGCCACTGTCAGTGTGTTCCTGTGAGGATCAAATTGGAACGGAAGCATAAAGCAGATTGGTTGTTACCACCACTCTATTTTGATCACTGAGTATCTGCTAAGCAGTTTTATCTGCGTCACTCTCTTTCGCTCTCTCTGGCTATAATTCCTTCCTCTGTCTTGTATTTATTACATTTTGTAATTTATAACAAAAAATGACAGTAAAGCTTTGAACTAAATGCTAACGTGCTCACAATGATAATGATGTTTACCATGTTCACCATCTTAGTTTAGATGGATATTTAACATAGATGTTTCCATTTGCTCTTGTCATACTTACCACGGCCACTAGATGTCACCTAGCAACAAAACAGAACTATGGGTACGTAACTGGCTCGTTTTTTACAAGAAGATACCAGTTGTTCTTGCATGAATCCAAGTATTTGACAGATTCAAATTTTGACCTGATGATGGTGCTTAATGAAAAACTCAGGGGATGACCAAAGTGATTACAATTCATCCTGATTGGGACATGAACTTTCATAGCAACCCTTCCAATAGTTGTTGAGATATATCACTAAAAAGATGAAATGTCAACCTCATGGGGGCGCTAGAGTAAAAGTCAGGAGATCACCAAAGTCAGTAAGCGTCATCCTCTGGGGACAGTGAATGTCTGTACAACATTTCAATCCATCAAATAATTGCTGAGATATTTCAATCTGGACCAAATTGGTGGTCCAGTTTGAAATATATATAGTGTCATTTACTTCAGTGCCATCTTAGGTCGATATAGCCTCATTCATGATTTAGCACCGTTAATAGGCAGAAGAAAAGTAACTGTTGACCCACAGTCACTGAATCCCTGCATGGTTAATTACTGCTAGATTACATAAATAATGGAATGGAATAAATAAAGCTCTCCCTTTCTCCTCAACTCCCTGTGGTGATCCCATTTCCTTTGACCAGACTCAAATGGAGGCTTCTTCTCACTCCTTCGATTAAAAAATGACAGCGAGCAGGAGACATGCTTCATTTTCACTTCAAGATTAAACATGTCTCTGCCACATTCCTGCCAGCAAGACGTCTGCACAGAGGTAAAGCCTGTGGAAGCTCTTTATTGAGGTTGTGATCAGTCTTTCAGGAGAAAGTCTCTCTGGGAACCAGTTTAGACTTAACAAGTCTCCTATGGGGGTGAGGAGGAGGGAGCGGGGTTCAGTGAATATACTGTCACCTGAGGATAATTGGGGACATGGAAGATAGGAAACAAAAGAAAGGAACAATAACTCATCTTGGAAGTGGGAAGGTTTCCCACTTCCAAATCGGAGGGATAAAAGAGGAGCAGGTAATGAATTCTTCAAAAGTCGAAGTGAGCATAGTGTGTGCTTCACTACACAAACCCACCACCAACCACAGCTCAATGCTGAGGCAACCGCAAAGGTGTGTAACTATGCAGTTCCTCTAATGGCCCCTAGAGGCTGGCTTGGAAAATCCTTTAATCATGTATACAAAACCTTTATTTTTTGTCAAAGAAGGAATATTCTCTAAATGAACATAGTACTATAGAGAAGGGTTTGATTTGACATATATATATATATATATATACCTATATATATATAGGTGAATTAGCAATAATTTGATATTTGAGAAATATGTTTATTTGCTTTCTTTGCTGAAAGTCAGATGAGAAGTTTGACGTCATTTTCACATCAGTACACTAAATATGTTGCTGGAGCCAGCAGCCAGTTAGCTTAGCCTAGCATAAAAACAGGCAAAAAACAAAGAAACAAGGGAAAACTGCTAGTCTAGCCCCTTCCAAAGCTTACAAAATCTGACCATCAAATATATCTCATTTGTTCAAACTGTATGAACCTGAAATGTAAAAACAATTGCTTGCTGTTTTACAGTGATTTCCTGGAGCCTCATCTGGTTGCCTGGTAAGAAACAGCCTGGCATATAACCTGTCATTTCTGAAGCCCAATGTCCAACAGAGCATGTAAACTGTGAGGATTTCCTGCATCTACTTAATTTATCATTGTAAACTTCACATATTTTGAACAATTAAAGAACAAATGATTCTGAGCACAAAGTAACTCACTCATTGCTAACTAGTGGCCAACAAAGTCATTGACATCCATTTACATTTGACACCAGGTTACAATTTCTGCCTATGTGCAACCACCTGTTGTATAACTTTGTGTGTGTGTGTGTGTGTGTGTGTGTCAAACTCAGCATCTTTTGTTTTGTGCCATTGGCGAGACGATATAAGCAATTTGAATGTGTCATGTTGGACTCTTGTGAAATTGTGCTGTTTCCTAACTTTGTACAGGATAAATGATTGACTGATAAAAATTGAGAGATAACTCAGTAATTAAAATAATCTCTCTTGGGCATGTTTGCCTTGTTTTACAGGACAACACACCATGGCTGCCTTCAAATTTGCATATTCTAGATCCTTTAACGGAGAAAAACAACAGAAAGCTTTAAACTGAGGCTTCAAACACCCCATTGGAAACATGTGGATGACAAAACAGTCACTATGTCCAAGATTCTTCTAGTTAGCCTGTAATCTATCTAAACAATGTTTTAATCGATTAATTAAGAATAATGGCAAGTTTGACTAGTTTCAGTTTACATTGATTTAAATCAATCACAGTCCAATCCAGTCACTTTAAATGTTTAATTTTCTTCAGTATGGAAGGCAAAGTTTTACCTAAGCACCACAGGTCAGTTTACAACAAAATACCAAAGAATAAACAGTCTGTCATTAAGTCTGTGCATTTTCAATTTACAGTTAAATTGATTACACCGAGAGCAAATGAACCGTCCACCCCTGTAAGCACAGAGTGTACAATCAAACCGTTAACAAAGTCATTTTCTGATTTGTGACGTGCTGTCATGAGACATCTGGGATGAATCACAACAGCCTCTCCGGTTGGCAGCATGGGACTTACCATTCATGTTCATCAGATAGTTATTATTTGTGAATTTCATAAACACTTCGGGTTTTCCATTTGTCAACATTCCTACATTCACCCCACACTGCTCATTTTTGCAGTCATCTCCTCACCCTGCTATCTCTACACCAGACTGACGGGATGCCAACAAAACATTTTCTCATGTTCGAATGACTGAAGGTTGGAATAGATTAAAAAGAAATACTAGAACGCTCGATTAGTGAGACTTTTTACACTTAGGAACTGGACTCTAACCAAGTCTCACTTTTTCTATTTTTCGATTTCGCTCTGTTGTGTTGTGAAGTTTGGCTGACTGGCAGGTCTGAGTGTTCACACTTAAAAAGGTTACAGGAAGTTTGAAAACTGCCAAGTTTATTTCTAAAGTAGATGTCTGTCAAAATGACTGGCTTCTACGCACTCACCAAAACACACAGAGATAAACACATAAAGAGACATTTACTCAAACACACACACACACACACACACAAACGCCCACACTTCAGTTATTCCACCAGCCTGTCAGTTCTTTATTATTCACCCTAAAGCAGACGTCCACATGCTGAGGTGTCCAGGACATCACAAGCTACTACCTGCAGCACCAGTGCTGATTTAGTAATAGTATGTTATTGACTGCTTATGGTAATGGCACCTAAAGGTCAAGCTATACAGACAATGATGTAGGAGGGATGAGTAAAAAATGTTTAAGAAAATGAATAGACTCTTGAGTTGCTGGTGGTATTTGTGTCAGAATCCAGAAGTAAACTGTAAAAAAAAAAGAAAAAAGCAGAAACTCCTGTTCACACGTTACAGTGCGCTGTGTCCAGCAAGCATGGGATAAAGGGCCTCTCAGTTTGTCTCAGGAAAACAATGTAGATGCAGATGCTGTAAATCTGTGACGGGTATTAAAGGTTGAAATTTTGGAACACGCATTATTCGGTTGAGCTTTTGCTCTCAGACTGGCTTTACTTTACTGGGTAGATGACAGCTGTCAACCAGGAAATGCAAAAAAAAATATCTCCCTTGGTACATGACTTACTCTAATGCAAATATCTCCCTGAAAAACTCTGAACATAGCCATGGTTCGCAGGTGAAAGAGTTCACATCCAGCCAACGTCCAACGTAAACTAGACGCAGACAATGACCCTCAACATTGTGCTGTTGTGTAAAAGAGCAAATCATCTACTGCAGAAATGATTCGATTCATTAAACTTTCTCATTACACCAAAATAAAAAAATTAAAAAAAAAAACATTTGCAGATTCACTAAAAGTGGAAACAGAAGAATCAAATACAGTCGACTTATTATTTACATGTGACACACCCAGAATTACGTTTGCAAACACTTGGCTTGATATGATTGCAGAAAAAAAAATAACTGCATAACCTGCATGCATCCTACAGAATGGAAAAGCAGATCTGCCATGTCTCACTAGATTTCGCCATGAACAATGTCACATATACAGTGCTAAAGTGCAACGTGTACAGTTATCAAATCATGATCCCTGTCTGCGTAAGAGGACCTCTGCATGTATGACACTTCAGAGCCACCCTGTGGAGCTGTTTGTCTCTTTACATGTTGCTCACCAAAAAGCATTATGTTTATCCTTTAGCCCTAAAAAAAAAAAAAAAAAAAAAAAAAACCATTATGAATTCACTTCCAACCTCATAAACACTTAAAAAAACTGACGGCGTGACACGATTGGCAGGAATATGTTATCCATCATCTGCATCCAAAAGACAAACAAAACAAGAATCTAGATTGCTCCATAGCACTACTGGTGGTCAAAGACTCCACATGATACCTTAAAAGAGGACATTTATTCAATCTATGGCATTAAAGATGAACTGCAGAGTTTTCCAGTTGATTTGATTACATTCATACCTTTGAACATGCTTACATAATCCTAACGGAAACAAGTGACAAAACCTGAATCAGAAGCTGAACAAGGAGAATCCATAAAAAACACAAAAAAAAAGTACAGTAAGAAAAATGCTACTTCTTTTATATCTGTGATTTCTCCACAATTCACATTCTGGTCACGTATGTTATTTTGTTTTTTTTTCTCCCAACATGAAATGAAACCCCAGTGATTAGTGTTTTTGCTATTGTTACACCCATGTTGCTCAGTAGTGCGACTAGTGACCAAAACCACTGCAGCTCATCTTTAACAGCATTAATTGGCCTTTAGGCTTTGTCACACAGCATGAGGACATTTTGAATAAATAATTCCCATGTACAAAGCAAAAGAAAAAACCCAAACAAAACAGGCTATGCTGCAGCTATCTGAGATGAACACATTTTTCTGGTTGTGACAAACACGGACCATTGATATGGAACTAATAAATACAGGCTTTTGTGGTGATACGAACATTTGCTCACTTCCAGATCACACTTGATCTTGACTGACCCGTTTGTAAAAGAGTTTCAGAAACGGACTAAAACACCTTCCACTGAAGAGAGCTTGGATGGAATGAAATGGAATCAACATTACAGTCAGATGAGGGTTAGGATCGAGCACGTAATACACAAGAGGTTAATAAACTTTTTTAGGTTTGGACAAATGTGAAGTAAGTTTTGTTTTATCTGGAATCTCTGGTTCATAATCAAACTACATCTCGTGACATGTTACGACCCACTACAAGGTTTGGGTCACAGTCCAAAAAATTTTTTATATATATAAATTCATATATATATAATAATAATATAATTCATATATATTCATATATACATTTAATAAAGCAACACACACCACATAACAATGATATGGTGATATGAGCCAAAGCTGAGGTGTTAATCCCAGGTGTGTGTGTGTGTGTGTGTGTGTGTGTGTGTGTGTGTGTTTGTGTTTGTGTTTATCTGCACACTTCCATGGATTTTCAGCCTGGGACCCACTCAGAAACAACACCACGGTTAAAGCAGGTGACACAGGGAGATATGGTTCTTCACTGGCTGATAGCAATCAGACTGTGAGGCCACAGCAAAGCGCTTAATGACAAATTTCACTCCTCCATTGTCGGTGGCTTCGGAGCGCGAGCTTATTCACAAGTGATGCTAAGCACGTCACGTTACACCCAAAGCTGAGTCCAGTTCAACATTTACTCGCACAACATGGCGGACTAAGAGCGGCTGCTTGACCGCTTGTTTGTAATCTAGCCTATGGAGCAGTACCCTTCATGTTTGTAAAATCCCAGTTCTGCCTGGTACCATAGACTTATTATCATATATACACATTTTTGTACCAAATTTTGCATCATTTTGACATACATATATATTTTCTTTTTATGCCCTGTACAAAAGCTCAGAGTGCCTTTTTGCACTGCACTTTGCATGTCTCCCTGTTCTAGTAAATCTGAATGAAGTTAATTTTAAAAACTAAGCTGAATTCTCATCAGGTGGTTCCTTGTCGTGGGTCCTCTCTGCAGCTCTGTGAAGCCTCATCTCTTAATAGTTTTGCAGTTCAGGAATGTTCTTATAGAGCTCCAGTGAATCGGGGTTGGAGAAAGCCCCTCTCTGCGCCACCTCCCGGCCAGCGATCACCTGCTTCACAGCCACCTCCACCTTCTTCCCGCTGATGGTGTACTGCAGAGGGATGAAGAAAGGTGCTGTCAGTCTAACCAGAAATGACTTTCACAGTTGAAACCATTGTAATAGGATAATCTGACAGGTTTGTTCATATCTGACGTATATTCCTATTTCTCTTACAGGAATGTCTCTGGTCTCCAGCAGCAGCGCAGGGATGTGTCGGGCGGACAGAGCTTTTCTAATGGCGCCTTTAATCTTTGCCACCAACTCCGGAGAGAAGGGCTTACCAGGAGCCATCTTTAAGAACAAAATAACTCGCTCTTCTCCGTCGGCATTGTACTGAGGGACACAAAGACTGTCTGACACTTCCTCGAACGCCTCCACTGCAGAGAGGAGAAGAAAAGGAGAGGGCAGATTAGAGGACGAGGAAGCAAAACAAAAATGAGGAGAGCAGATGAGAGGCAAGGAGCGAAGAGGAGGTGAGAGGTGAAGAGAGGACGGTTAGAGCAGAGAGTGTCGGAAGAGCTTGGCTGAGAACAGATGAAAATGTTTCACCACTTAAAACTTCAAAACTAAGCACAGAAACACTGCGTCTGTGTCGTCAACAGTAAGGTAATAAAATTGTGCTTTTGTTACATTTGGTCGGCTCGACAAATGAACAAACTTTAAAAGTGGATGATGGCATGACAGCATTTTTTTTTTTCATCAACATAAAAAGGAAACCAGGACTCAGCTTAAGCTCACAAAAAAAATGAAATGCATTTGTCACATCCCCCCCCCCCACCTCCTTTCTTACACCCACACCCTGCTCCACCTGCAATGTTCAAGACTCACCAATGTTGTAGATCTCTGAGCTGCCAAATCGGACTCCGTTGGGGTTCAGTGTACCGTCGCTGCAGAAAAAAACACAAGTTCAAGATTCAGAACTTTTTTGTCAGTCACTGCGAAGCTGTCTTGCCACACATCACACACTACAACACACTGGAATGGAGACAGACAATCTACCAGCACACGGAGACAATTTCAGTTTCTGTAAGCTGGTTATTTCTTTCTTTCTACTTATACAATATTGAAACTATATGTTTATCTATTTGTTTCCATGTGTGTATATTTCTGTACTTTCAGTTTATCTCCCTTTACCCTTAGCTGAACCCTCTTTTATTGTTTTGTGATATAAAGCAATCTCATTCGGGGCCATAAAACAGCCTAAGAGTCGATAGGGGCTACCGAGCTTTCTGAACAATGTAGCGCAGTGCCAAATCTCAGGCAGAAAAAGGCCATTTTAAATGACTTCCATTCTCTTCAAATAGAAAAAATTTAAAAAAGATTAGCATCTAATTTTTAATATCTTCAATCTGCATGAATAATAATAAACCTGTCAATTTGCATAATACTCTAAATAAATGAATCAATTAAAACTACAGTGATGAAACATTTTATTTCAACATTGAGTAGGAGAGTGAGTGGCTGACCTTCTGCCCAGCATGACAATGCCTCCCGTCTTTGGGTTGATCTTACAGTAGTCACCATGAGCCCACACACCTAGAGAGAGAGAACACTTTTGAGTTTAACACAAAATTTTTATTTTGCAGAATGTTTTGTATTAAAAAAAAAAAAACATAACAAAGTAAAATAATAATACAGGCAATTAAAAAAGAAAAACAACAGCTGGTCAAGAAAAAAGAATAAAAGATGTTAAGACCTATAATGTTATAGACAGTAGTAGAAAAGTAGAGAAAAGAGAGACCAGGGTTTAAGCAATATTCATCACAGGGCAATCTTATCACACTGCATTGTATCATATTAGTTTCTTTGTACATATGTGCACTGCATATAAGTTTGTATTTATATATGGTGTTTGTGTACTTACCAGTATATGTAGAAAAGTATGCTTTGTGGTATTTGCTCCCATTCTCGTCATTCCAGAAGTGTGTTGGCTGGCAGGGGATTGGTTTGGAGCAGACAAGCTCCCCACTGTCCCCCCATACAGGCTTACCTGTGTACACGTATACACACACACACACACACACACACACACACACACATACACAGATTTAAACGGGAACAAAATAAAGTTCGAGGCTTCAGATGTACTTTGCCACAACACACACATCTACCTGGATACACATCCAACACAAACACACACCTCCACAGATACTGTATAAATCAATCTCAGATAAAAAAAAAACAAACAAAAAAGAAATCACCTGGTAATGTATCCCACACTCAGAGAACCTGATACTCTTTTGTGTGTGGTTTCACACAGCCCTCAACCTCCTCCCTCAGGATGGTGTTATAGGCTTAGAGACCAACTAAAATAATCCCAAGCTCTTCCTACAAAACTGCCTTTAAATTATCCCTCAATCCACTCTCCTTTGAGGTGGTGGAGACACGCCAGTACAGCCCGCAGCAGGGATTGGGAGCTGGGGAACAAGGGACTAAAATCAATGAGAAAAACAGAGGGCTTTGAAGACTCCAAAAAATCCCTCTTTTTTTTTTTTTGTTTGGACTGTTAATGAAAAAAATAGTGTTTTCCTGAAGTGTGTACCTGTATTTATTCAGGAAAAGTTCACTAATTACTCTCGCAGTTTTTCAGCCATGGCTAGCTTCACATTCATGCAAACACATACAGGCACCTCCCCATATGGGAGCAACCAAGTATAACCACAGTCTTGTTCTGGTAGCTACCAAGCAGCTCCAGAGGCAGATGGGAAGTTTGCTCAAGGACATCTCAGCAGCTTTCAAATTTGCTTGTGATTAATTTTCCTCATTAATATTTTTACCATCCCTCCTAGGACTCAAACCTGCAACTTCCTTACAACCTCTACCCGGATCCCTAGATCTTGTTGTCAATGCAGGTTGCACCGTAAATCCCCTGAAAGCTTGAGAGTTTTGGCAAAATAAAAATAAAAAGCAATAATATTCAATTTTTTTTTTTAGGAATTCACCCACTCTGAACATGCACACAATGTCACACACACCCTTACCATCGAGGCCCCAGGCTTCCACAGCCATGCCGAGGTTTCTTGTCTGGATCTCGCCCCGATACACTGGAACTGTTGGGTTTTGGCCCATGAAACATGACACTATGTCTGTGCCACCTGGGAAGAGAGGTGAGAGGAAAAAGAGGCGCACAGAGGGAGAGATTTAGTTGGTTGACGGACTGAAATGAAACACAAGTTATTCATGTGGAGTTTTCATTGTAAAAAGAAAAAGAGAAATCACTCTTTTGCCTAAATTTAACCATGTCTGTCCTGAAACGTCTAGTAAGCAATACATTTTATGCTGACCATGAATCAAATAAAGTCAGTCACATGACCAGCTAACACTCCATGTACCTAAGGTAAACTGAATTTGGGAAGACTGCATTTGGATTCAATGCCGCAGATACATGGAATAAGCTACAGAGCACTTTAAAAATGGATAGTTTTATAAAGTTATCCACTTCTTAGAAACAAGATTTTAAACCTTCCCAAAACTGAATGCAATTGTTTTAACTGATGAGACTGTTGACTGTGTTTTATAATCTTGGCATCTCATATGTTTACAATTTTTCTTTTTTTCCATTATTTTGATTACAGTTTTGTAATTTTATTGTTTGTTATTCAAACTGTATTGTAAATTCTTTTTGGACCATCTGTTCATGAATTGTTTTTATTATGTTTTTTTTACGTACATTCATTCTTGAAAATGAGATTTCTATCTCAATGGGATTCCCCTGAATAAATAAAGGTTAAATAAATAAATTAAATAAAAACATGTCATATGAAACGGGTTGCTCGCAGAGACAAACTCCCAGAGAATAAGCACCGAAGTCTGCAGCTCTACAAGACTTTTTAGCTTCTATTAGCTCCTATTTTTCTCATGAGTTAATGAAGACTACTGACTCATCAAATAATCTCTCATTTTTTTGCTAATGCTAGAATGATTACATGTCAGGGCTTTGTGTCTGTTTGGTTGCTGGGTAGTTAATTTTCCCCTCTTGTGCCAAAAAAGAAAAAAAAAAAGTTCAGTTCGGCTTTAAGTTTATTACAGCTGATCTTCAGACAGAGATCCGTCTCACATAGAAAACACACACACATCCGACTTTGTTTCAATAGTTACAATACCTAGAATGTACTGTACTGTAATGTACAGGAGCGCACCTGTGTCAGGTAACTTCAGCAACACATCAGTGAGCATTGACCTAGAGACATTACTAAACTTAGTGTTGGTATCAATCGGGTATTTTGGCAACACAAACTGGCAGTGTTAGCGCCCTGCTCCACCTCCACTGACCTATATAGGAGTTGTACTCCATTGCAGCACATTTCCTAAAACTGTCATGAACACGCACGCACACTTCCTCTGCCGCAATATCCATTTGTCTCTTTCTACCTTCCAATCATTTACTATTTCTGACGCGTCCTATTCATCTCCCCTCCCATTGTTCCATCTCTACCTCCCTGTTTCATTCCCTCTCTGTATCACAGACTCCATCCATCCATCTTGTTCGCTTCCTCTCAACTGCTCTCTGCCCTTCTACCGCTCCTTCCCTCTCTCTTGCTTATCTTTCTGTTCTTTACACTCATTCTCTCCGTTTCTCTTTCTGCCAGGTTCCTTATTGAGCTTTAATTGGCTCCCAGGAGGAAGTGGAAACTTTGTCTCCTGATTAAACACACACACCTATAGTGGGAAGCCACGCAATTATTTTATTATTACACTCACTTTTATGGGTGAGTACACACACACACACACACACACACACACACACATACAGAAAAGTATATTTTAAGCCAAAAGTCACTGTAGCTTCCTTGGATGCCTTCCATCAGCAGCCATTAAGTGTACGTGTGTGTGTGTGTGTGTGTGTGTGTGTGTGTATGTGTGTGTGTGTGTGTGTGTGTGTGTGTGTGTGTGTGTGTGTGTATATACAGAAGAAGAAGGTGAACTCCACAGTTAGTGTGTATATATTTCTGTATGTGTGCGCTTTCATTTGTGTAAGTGTGAGTGCTTCGAATGTCCTCTACCACAGTTTGGGGTCACACAAAGCCTCCAACTGAGACTAGAAGGCAACCAGCTTACCTACACATGCAATTCATATATTCACATCAAACACACACAGAAAACTTGTACACACAGCGTAAGAGAAGAGAAGAGAAGAGAAGAGAAGAGAAGAGAAGAGAAGAGAAGAGAAGAGAAGAGAAGAGAAGTGACATATGGGGAGTCAGATGGAGGTATATTAGGATGGAGGGAGTCCAGCAGTGAAAGTGTTAAAATCCCCCAATGAGGAGTGACGGGGGTATGAAACCCCTGCTGATGGAATAACACAGACACACACACACATACACACACAGACACACACAGACACACACACACACGCGTCCTGAAATACAAACATAAAAAAAAAAAGTTCTCATAAACCAAATAAAACTATTCACATTAGCTCAAGCGCACGTTTGCAGGTACGTTTACACAGAGACACACAAACAGTCACACAGGGTGAAATCAGCTAAAGGGGCCCTGTCACATATGTCGCCATGACCACCAGTCACTCACATATGCTGTGAGAAATCCTAAGGACACGCACACACACATGAACAGAGTGGTGACCTCGGGGGTCAAGGTTAGGTCGGTTGGCAGCCAACGGGGCTGCAACCTGCTGTTGCCCTTGGCGACATGGAGGAAACTGACTGGGGCAGGACATGCTGTTCTAAAGAACACACACACACACACACACACACACACACACACACACGAGCTCACACTACCCGATTTCGACACAAAACTAGTCCTTTGATTAAAAAAAATAAAAAAATTTAAAAGGGATAATTCCACATTAATTACAACTCGGGTTTGACTTTAAATGTTTTGGCCACCGTTCCAATAGAATATGATGACACTGGAGTCACAGAGGTAAAAGCTGAAATCTGGGAAAACGGCAACACTGCTACAAAGTGCATTATCAGTAATTTTACCGTTAACTTTTATTTTCTTTTTTCTTTATCTTTCTTTTTTAAAATCTATATTTAAAAAGGTACATGTTGCTGTTTCATACATCAGAACTTTGAAAAGGACTTCAGTCACTGAACTTCTGGATCTGAAGTTATCAGGGAAACAAGTTTAGTGGAAGCTCCTCCAAACATCCCGTGTCTGCAGTGTCAAACGTGAAACTCTTTTTACCAGATTTAATCAAGGGGTCTGTTTGTTTGTTTGCTCTGTGAAAGAATCCTAATCACACCAGCAACAAACGCCTGTCAACATGTTGACGTTCTAACCCACGAGTACTCAGTAGTCATTACTACTTTATTACATGAGTACTGAGTACTCATGGGTCGGACCACACCCATCTTCCAACTCAGCCTTCATTTTGATTTCAGCTACACACACTTCTGAATCAGTTGTGATGCTTTCACGGCGACAAAATCTGTCCACAGACAGACATATAAACACCTGCCAAATTAGTCAAGACCGCCTCGGTGGTGGTTCCAGCTACAGTAGGTGTCTCCAGGACCACATTTTGCCATGATGACACACACACACACACACACACACACACACACACACACTCTCTCTCTCAAACCCGCGCAGACTCATGAGGTGAGAACAATACCAGGCTGGTAATAACATGAGACAATCTGTTCTGATGTCCCTCTCTTTTTCTCTTCATCTCTTGCCAGACCTCTGCCTTGTGGCTGACATTTCACTTGATGCTTGTGTCCAGTCTGTCTACATGCATGTCACTGTGAGCATGTGTCTTTGCATGTGGGCAAGTGTGCATTTGAAGCTAAATGCTACGCCCATTATAGCTGTCATTCAGAGTGTTTGTTTTGGTGCTGTCAGTGTGCGCAAGAGTGACGCTCCAAGTTGCTACTCAATGTGCGTGTGCGTGTGTGTGTGTGTGTGTGCGCGTGTGTGTGAGTCTGTCTGCAGTACGTCAGTCACCCAGGCTGTGCTAAATGTTAAACGTTTCAGGACTCACAGAGAGGCAGTTAGCGTTCTATTGTCCTGTCAACATAACAATGGGCTGAGAGGACCACTGTGTTTGTGTGTGTGTGTGCGTGAGTGTGTGTGGGTTAGTGGTGGCGTTGTGGGCGGTGAGGAAAATGTACAGTTCTATACAATTTATTTTTATTTACTGTCTTTGTATGCGTCAGTCCTTTTGTGTTTGTTTCACAGATGCAGTGTTGCTTTATCTTTTGCTTTTTTGTGTGTGTAACTGCCTGTGTCAATGTGATAGACGCAAACAATGTTTGGGGAGGTTGCTGCTAATTGAGCACCTAGGTGAAATATACAGTAAGTTATTAGAAAAATGACTGAATGTTTCTCGACAGGGTCTGCATCAGTGACTCACCTGAGATGGAGCCCAGCAGCACGTTGCTCTTGATGCAGCGGTAGACGTAGTCGTAGCTCTGAGGTTTGAGAGGAGAGCCAGTTGACAGGATGGTGTGGAGAGACTGGAGGTTGTGTGTTTCCGCTGGGGAGGGGGAAGCAAAAGGAAAGATGAATCAAAAATCAGTTATCATCAGTTTAAATTGACTGAGTATTAGCAACTGGCATTGAATGTTTGATCAGATTTGTGCTCTAAATGAGGAAATCAGAAAGCTTAACTCACTTTAGACTGTATTTTAAGCAAAAGTTCTTGTGTGGCTGCTTGTGTTAATAAAAAAAGGAAACACACATTCATTGCACATTTTATTAGATAAAAAGGTTTTGTAGAGCTAAGGTATTGTTTGAATGTTGGATTTCAATGCTAGAACACAGGTATCGTAGCAGCTACAGATTTGAAACATATAAAACCTAACCCAGTTACAGTGAGCAATCATTTTCACACACACACACACACACATACAAATGTTTCAATGTGAGCATGCACCGGTGAACAGCTGTGGCTTCATGCATCCCTACATGTTGTGTTAATGCAGTATGCCACCCTGATGTGACACAGCATACAAGCTTCTCTGTCACAGGCGCACACACACACACACACACACACACACACACACACACACACACACACACACACACACACACACACACACACACACACACACACACACACACACACACGACTAAACCCCCAAGCCAATAAAACCCTGCAAACTAATACATTTCCAGCAACCGACCCTCACACCAAAAACACACACACACACATATACACACACAGTGGGACCTCTTGCTACCCCCCCACCATGCCCTCAGGTGTCCGGTCCAAATGTCAGCCCAGGGAAAAGGGCCTCTCCGCTGGGGCAGCCGGTGAAGATGCTCCCCCTACCCTCCCTCGCCCACTAGAGGCATGCTTGCGCGCGCACACACACATACACACACACACACACACGCACGCACACGCACACGCACACACACACGCACACGCACACGCACACGCACACACACAAGACAGACAGATCTCCCTCTGCCATGCTCTTTCTCTAATAAGCATCCAATCACACACACACTGTGCCAACTGGATCAAGTAGTTGGCTGACTGATGGGGGTGGGGCAGAGAGACAGAGACAGACAGGGGAAAGAGCAAAGGTTTTTTTTATCTGAGACTTTGTTTTTCATGCCTTCTTGTTTAGCCACAGAACTGGGAATATGTTTCGCTAATTTACAAGTTGCAGACAGATACACACACAAAGCGGGCCCCATGAATAAAGATTTGTGGTGATTATAACAGCGCAGTGGGAACTAAGAGACACAACAACTGTTTATGCAATAACCATTGGTTATAAGTGCTAATTTAACATTAGGAGAGGAGAAAAGAGGAGAGGGGAGGAGATGAGAAATGGGAAAGAAGGAGAATGAGGAAAGAAAGAAAAGGTAAGGACAAGTAAGAAACAGCAAAGCCCTTTGCATTAGTTATAACATAATTTACATGAAGGGATGAGGAGGAGGACACAACCAAAAGGGAAGAGATGTGAAACAAAAATGCAAAAGCTTTGACATATAATTATGTAAACCAAATTCCAGCTCATGCAACTAATCTAACTGGTATCACCTTGTCATTTCCCCATCAAAAGAAGCCTGTCGCCATTAGTGTGAACCAAGTATGAAAACTGAAATACCATCAAAACAAGCCCTGCTTGATGGATTCATTTTACAACAAATTAAAGAATGGAGACTAACAATTTCAGAACCTGTCAAGTGCTGTACCTTTACAACAGAGCACAGCGAAGCAGCAGTAACATTAGCATGCACTTCTAAACAGACACTTTTGTCACACAAATAGCAGAGAGAGAACGGCGTGTACGAAGGTTAGCAGGAAAGGCTAATAAGCACTGGCACAACTGATTACGTGCAGAGACCTGGATCTTCTCTGGAGAGCTGTGACACTAAAAGCAATTAGATGGGCCTATCCATGACTCATATGAATTATCCTAACAGCATTTTTATCCCTTCGATTCAGTGTCAAACACCAGAACACAGGGCAAACTGTTGATTCACACAGTAAATGGCATCAAGGACATTTAGAGTCAAACAGCATCGCTATTATAATCATTATCATGTCCATCTGCTCTTATTGTTTCAGGTTCCATTCTCACAGAGTAGATTTGTGTGTGTGTGTGTGTGTGTGTGTGTGTGTGTGTGTGTGTGTAGTCATTTCTCTTTCGGTTTTCTGCTCGTTATTGGTGTTCGTCCATGTGTGTCTCTGGATGTCTGCATGTAGGTGTGTACTTGATTGTGTCTTTGTGACCACAACTCACAGGGTTTCAGGTTCCTCTCCTGCAGCACAGACAGCCACTTGGCCCCGGTACCAAAGATAGTGATTCTGGAAGAAGAGGAAAAAGATAGAGAGTGACGAGAAGAAATAGGCGGAAATTAATCATTTAAGTATAATATAAAGGATCAGTGAAGCATTCGTTTCCAACATTCAAAACAAACATAATTAAATCTCTCAGAAGTGGAAGGTGTCGTCCATTATTTTGGGAAAAAAATGAATTTGCGTCAGTGTTGCCCACAATGACAGCCACTGGAGAAGTCCTCCTACATACACGTCCTGTATTCTGCACTGTGACAGCAGAAACGTTAAACAACAGAACCAAATTAGCAAACATTATGAATCATCCTCTGGGGTGGTACGATTACTGTTGCCAAATTTTCTTGCTCGAGACCAAAGTGTTGGCCAGATGGGTGGACGCACAGACAGGCTGACATCATGACCCTTTACCATCATTTGCTCTGGATCTTCTAGATCGCCTCAATCAAAATTAAACAAGCAGCACAACTCCTCTCCAACATACCGTGTGTTTTACTACCCAAATGGTTTAGACCATCTTCGTCAGGATGGTGATGAATATTACTGTATGTTGGAGGGAGGTTGGTTGACTTTGATGATTCACACAAGTCTGCCTCTTTCAGTGTATATGTTTAAAAAATTTTGTTCGGGCTATATCTTGATATCTTTGTTTGCAACATGAGAACAACAAAATGCTTCTTCTGCAAAAACTGAATGTAAATACAGTGGTAGCATTTTGAAGTCGCATCAGCATTAGATCACAGTTCAGTCAACAATACAAAAAGGTTGTTGACATTTGGAGGAGGTTGTGTGATGGACGGAGCTGCAGCAGCAATTGGTCTACATTGGTAGAGTAAGAGTGACGCCTGAGAAGTTAGTGTTATGGATACGATTGGATGTTTTTATTCAGCCGTAATCAAAGCAGCTGATGAATGAGGCACTGATGGTGAAGCATGAATGGAGGAGCTGATGCAAGTGTGACTTCAGTCTGAAGAGCTCCATTTGTTGCTCTGAATCTATTATTTGAATGTCTCTGAGCTCAATGTAAAAATATAAAAGAGGACAACAGTTACTGAACAGCCTTTGCCCTTAATCCCATCTGCTCCAGTGGAGCTGCTCAGTATCCTGCTTGTATGAGGAGGAAGTTCCCAGGAGAGGAGAGTGTGTCGCTGTGTAAATGTAAAGCAACGTGATGCTGAAACTGAGCCTGTGTGCTCAGTCAACCCTTCACGGACAGATAAGAAAAAATGGAGAAAATAACTGATTGGAAATTGACTTTCAACTGAACAAACAAAACACAATAATTGTGAGTCCAGCTTGAGAGGACAAAATGTCTCCTTTGTAAATCTTCCTCAAGGAAATAGTTCAAAGGAGAATGAAGTGACAACATGCGCACAACAACCCTGAGATGAAATGATTTCGGAAGGTGCTTTCTTCTGTGAATGGAAGTATCCTTGACAGCTGACAACAGTTGGACAACATGTGGACGGCAAGAAGTGACAAAACGTCACTTCTGTGTTCCCCTGCAGTTTTAATTTTAAAACAAAGGGCCTTTTTAAGTCTGCCTCTGTGAATGGGTGTTTTTGTCTCAATCTGTTTCTTCCCGTCTTTTCAAGTTATTTTTGCTGACATTAAATCAATCAAATTGCCTCCTATCACTATGGTAACCGTGTCTGTCAATCAAAAATAAAAAAGAATCTGTCTCTGATACAAAACAACTGTCTGATGCTTGATTGGTCAGTAACCAGGAATTAGCTTGCGGTGAAAGATGTGATTTGCTCTGCGAGGGTCGAATCGATCAGCGGTGATGCAGGTTGTTCATAGGGTGAATGAAGGGGTGAGATTAGGTGAAAGGCCAAAGGTCCCAAGAAGTAATATCTCACATGGAATGGAGCGAATGATGCACGCACCTCTTGTCCATGCTGCCTCTGCATGCCTCACACCTGCCCTTCCTGCTCGCTAAAGTGTCTTATCTTGAAATCTTATGTCAAAGAATATGTTGTTTTAAAATCTAAATCTTGATTTATTGAGAAACTCTTTATTGACACTGTGAATTAAGCAGACTTGAATGTCTGTTTTAATGTTAATCCAGCAAGAAGATATGTGACAAATCAAGTTATTTTATCAAATTGACGCAAAAAAAATCCTTAAAATACAATTTGCTATTATTAAACTGTCCTGCTCATTGATGTGCAACATTGCCCACAATGGCCTTATACACATTTATACACACCACTATGAACCGTATGGCAAAATCTTTGGTTGACATATTGCGAGACTAAAAAACAAGCAGACAGGTCGTTTGTGCAGCAGCTTATTAAGACAAATAATTACGTTTTGTTGTTAGGTGGCATCTAGTGGTCGTAGTAATTATGACAGAAGCGAAGGGAAAAGTGCGGTGACGTAGTGTAAAGAGGAAGATGTTGGGGTGGATGGATGGTTCAACAAAACACAGGAATACAACACAAGAGATTGGAGTCCGATTCCCATGTGAAACCAGTAGTTTATATTGTTCCTATTATTCATCGCTGTTTGTTGTTATTATTGTAACCATGACAACAAAGATCGTCTGATGTTGAGGAAGTACTTATTTTAACCCAAACCATGATCTTTTCCTAACCAAGTAGTTTCTGTGCCTTCCATTTCTAAAACTGTATTAACTGCTAGCTTCCAATTTTGAAAATGATCCAATTTTTCTATTTTTAACAAACGAAATATCCCAAATAATAACTGTAAAAAGAGCAATCAGGTTGTCCTTCATTTATGTAATTAGGGGGTGTATATACATAGATGCTGTGTGTATTATGTATGGACGGGCAGGGATGGTCGATATCCGTTCTCCACATTCAGTTACAGCCACCTGGTACTGCAGATGACACACACAAACTCAAACACAAAGATCCCCATTCGTCATCTGCACACTCACACAGTCAGTCTCCATCCTATCCATCATTTCTGACCCCCCATCCGCATCTGGATTTGTTCGCCGCTGGCTACCATGGAAACGGTCACTCTACTCTGATTGGAGGCAAATGGCCAGGTGTGGCTGCTAATTGGGTGTTTAGGATGGAGGGTGGAGGCGAAGCTGTGAGTCTGTTTGTGTGACCGAGCGCCCGCGTGGTTCATGAGCGCCCGTGTATCTGTTTCAGGGGAGGCATGTAACTGGGGACTACTAAGTCGATACGAGACACTCGAAGCCAATCAGATGCGAGAGCGCCTCCGAGCAGTTATTACGTTAATGTGTCTCTATGCATGTTGTGATGCTTTCTCAACTGCTCCTCGCACTTGTCCTCCACCCCGGGAAGAATAGTAATTGCTCTCTTCTCAGGTGTCGCAGGCTACAAGGAACAGTTCCAAACTACTGTTTGATGGTGTAATTGTTTACAGATTTGCAACTATTAAAAGTATGAAGCACGACATAATTTTCGGAAATCGATGCATGCGAAATGTATCAGGGTAGCTGCCGTGCTCAGTGTGATAGACTGCCTCCATCTCACTCAAGCTTTATTTTTAGTATTATTGCTTCTAAAATTAAACTCATTTTCCATGAACCCTGTTGCTTCCTCTCACAAACACCTCCCTGACATGCATTTATTATCTCCAATGTGCTTCTCAAATGACAGACATGTTAAAAAATGATTTTCTTTCGTTCTGTCTGTCACATTTTATTGTGAAGCTCCTGTTTTTTTTAATCTTCCTTTTGTGTGACAATCGAACCCGTTGGCAGACAATTAAAAAGACAACAGGGGCCAATGTCTCAAAATGAATGTGGTAACGTTCTTTTTTGTAATACAGTAAACTGATATGCTGCGTTCAGCACTTTAAATAAGTGTGGATGTTGTTTAGTTTGTGAACAAAGGATTTGATGAAGACACGAGTCTCCAGCTTGAAAACGAGGATGTTTTAAATTGTTATGCCCATGTGTCTCAAACTGTAACTGAGCTGGCAAGATGCAATCTACTAAACTGTATCCGTACTTATCTCCTCCAAAGAGGATAACTGAGAATTTCGCTTGCTTGGCATTAGCAAAAGACGAGATTTCCAAACAGTAGATGGTACAAGAGTATAGGAGGAATCTTTTCTGTCATATCAGCCCAGCACATAATGGACAAAAAGATGGAGAAGAAGACAAGAGGATCCTCCGAGAAAACAGAGGAGCCTCTAAAGTCCCATACATACATGGAACCTGTCACAAGTATAAATGCGGTAACCTTTTTCTTGCTTCACCCGGGGATACTGCGGATTTTGTTTCCACTACGGGCCTGGTAGAGAGTCTCAGTAAATCTCCTTTTCCTACATGGCACAGGTAGGGAAAGTTGTCAGAGCATTTAGAGGTTAGAGTGCATGGAATAGTAGAGGACAATACAGTATATGAAGATTGCAGTCTCTATAATATATTTACTGATATCGGCATACCTTACTGTAATACAGTTTGTGACTGATTTTCTTCTTAGATGGGTATCAGCTCTGTTTTATTCACTTAAAGACAAAAGATGTGGGGCGACCCAATAGCTGAGTGGTGAGGGCACATATCACGTGGGGGAAAAATTAATCCCTGGTTCAACTTCCAGCTGGCCAGACTTTTTGCTGCATGTCATTCCCCTTCTGTCTGTCCCTGCATTTCCTGTCTCTCTACACAGTCCTATCAAATAAAGGCCTAAAATGCCCCAAAAATTAAGACAAAAGGTACTTTCTATTCAAATATGTTTGGTTGGTACAAGACACAAGACTCTGTGTCAGCTCTTGAATTTTGAATACACAAATCTACTGTGCATTATTTCATCTACTAACTGCTGCATTTTAGTTGCACGTGAAGAACCTCCACCATGGCTCACATTTGTTAGATTGTCTCACTCAAGCAGATTCTCCATATGTTGTGCAGCACAGAGACCTAATGGATAACTACACATAAACGCAATCTTCAGAGACTATACCCATGCTTCAGACCCCCTCCCCTTTACCGTTTTCCTCTTATCAAAGCTGAAAATCTGCAATAATCCATTACAGTAAATATGTTTTCTAAATGGCCAGTCCTTTCCCATTATTGAAAATGCCATCTTTCAAAAAAAAAAACAAAAACAAAAAAAATCTATAAAGAGATTCAGAACTGTAAATGTCAATTGTTCAGTGCGATGATGCAGTCAAACTCTACAGCAAAGTAGTATTACAATCCCACGACCAACACAGTTCAAGGCAACAGGGGAAGCCTCAATTTAAGTTCAAGGCTCTCCAAAGCTCTGGCAGATTTAGTGCCATTTAAAATGTCCAACCTTAATTCAGAAGATGAGAGCGTAAAAAAAAAAAAAAAAAAAAAAAAAAAAAAATTCATGCACCCCTCCCCCAGGGGGGGTTTGTCCACATAGTGCTGGGATCTGGGAAAGAGACTGAGGTGGCAACATCAGCTTTTAATTGGTTCAAACGTCTTCTCAACATTAAAAGGTTCCATCCGTCTTTCTGTCAAGTTGGCAGCCCTTTACTAAATTCCTCTATGTGGGTCATTTTGCTAACAGTATTCTAGCCTTGGTCATGCCATTTCTCTCTTTTTTGATGGGGGGGGGGGGGGGGTGAAAAACGAGAACATTTATCTCACCAAACAGCTACTACAAACCTAAAGCTTCAGAAGCTGCTATAATCCCTATTCTACCAGTTATTTTTACCAAGGGTCCAATCATCACTTCAAGATCTTAATATAGTTGATAATTCAACTGTCTAGTAAAATTGTGAAAGAAGCTCATTAGGTTTGGGATCTGCTCAGAGTTTCTGCTGTAGAGGTAATTTTCTTGGCACTTATGCTCCATGGTTTCCACTATTCCCCATCTGTGTCAGATTTTTCTCCCCATTACTCAGTTCCTTGCTGAAGGCGATATGCCATTTCTACCGCAGTGAATATGCATCTGTGGTATAACTGTCTTAAAAAGGGTCTTACTTTTGCTGACCACACTGCGTTTTTTTCCCCATAATTTAACCAAAGATTGACTGAATGTACTCAATAATGCTCACTCACAGCACAGAGCTGCCCCATATGACACGATCTCCAACTGTTGGCTGTTGTAAGTGGAGGAAATATTAGCTGCTACAGTTTCCTCCAATTTTTTCTTTTATTTCAGTTCTTAAGAGAGGGGCTGGTTGTGCAAGATGTATCTTCTCCTTGTTACTTCTCTGTAAAGTAAATAGGTTTGGCTTTTTGTTTTCAAGTCATACACTGAAATTAACTAGAGTCATAAAGGCGATCTTGAGTACGGCTTAATTCAAAACAGATAATAAAAGGGAATCTACTGGTCAAACCGGCCGATCGTAGTACTATTCAAACTACTGGCATATTATATTTTGGAGGTAAAAATCCACCATACTTTACAGTCCAACACAGCCTACTAGCCTGCAGCCAAAACTGAATACCTGAATACCCTTTGAGAAATTTAAATACAAGTACTCAATGAGGAAAATAATATCTGCTCACCATGTTTCCTATTAAATTGAACCAATTACCTGCCACCGCCACACAGTTGTGTCCTTGACCGTTTCAGCTTTTCTCTTGCCGTCTTCAAAAGACAACAGGGGATCAATGCTGGGTTTAACATCTACTCTACTACTGATGATAGTGACGGTGGGAGGAGGTGGGGTATCAGGACCAAACTCTCCTCCAAATCTTCTGTCGACATTCATCAAACTCAAGCAATAACAGCACCTATCGTGACTGGATTTAAAGTGAGCCACTGTTTGTTGTTTTTCAAAGATGAAATCAGATGACACATGATCCCTCATCTTCACATGTGATGTTCACACTGAGCCGTGATACAGCGTGAACAAACCTTAGGGTTCAGCAGTCCTGGCTGTCTTGTGGTTTGACCTGAGTTTTCGGATCCATCCAAATTTACAGCATCCCTATCAATCTCAATAACAGCAGGCTTTAAGGGAAGGCTGGCCCTGCTGACTTAAAAACCGCACTCTCAAAATGACAGCGAGGCAGCTCGTTTGTGGTAATCAGTAAGTCAGTTTGGGGTGCCTCTTGTCCATCTGAATTATGAGACTGATTTCTTTTAAAACTTAAATGTTTTCTCCAAATCCAAAGGCATTCACTACACACAGTAAAACTCATACAGCTGCTGCCTGGTGGCTTGACATGACGAAAAAGCCTGTTCCTCTTTTCCACTGTTTTTTTAAACTATACACCAATAGTCTAACTAATCTATGGCATATAAAATGAGGCAAAATTATCATCTCCATTACCCACTTTATACGCCATTACCCCCAACTTTCTTTTACATTTTTCCTTTCCTTTCTTTCGAATCAATCCATCTTTATCAACTCTTCCCTGATTTTTAATCAGCGTTAATAAATTAGCAAGCAAGCAAAAAATGTTTATTGTATGATCAGTTGCCGAGGGTCTCTGTTGTTAATACATGTTCTAACTAGCAGAAATCTTTATTCATGCATCTGCTTTTGTGTGCATGTGTGTGTAAGTTGTCAATTAGGAAAACACATTATCAGTTCTGTAGTTAAAAAACAATATCTCCCAGGAATACCCTTCTACCCTCCTACCAACCCTATGCTCCTGCTCTCTTTATGACTCCGTCTGTATGCATCTCTCTCCTTTTCCTTTCATGGTCGGATTTTTCATCTATATTTTCTGTTTGTCTGTTTCTAAAACACCACATATTAAAAGAAAAAAAAAAAATCCCACACTTTTTCTTATAGCCATCCAATACGAGTTGAATCTCTTATTGAAAATGCAGCACGTCTTGGGCTGCACTGAACTCTATTAAAGCTGCAACAGATATTGAGAGTATAGTATAGAGACTTTCTGAAGAGAAATTGGATGGTTTTGTTTTGTTTTGAAATTTGTTTTGAACATCAGGGGGGAAAACATTTCTTTTTGTTTGTCTTTACAGAAACACCAAACACCAAAAGCTGATGATTACTGTTAATGATTCTTAGAGCTCAACCTTCTTCTGTCAGGAAAGCTAATTGTAGCTTCGCAGGAGATATGCTGATGTCAAGTCTCACTTTAATAGCACATCTTTGTTGATAAAAATAAGTCACGATTCCATGAATCATCTTGCAATTTTGTGGAAGATCCAGAACCGTAAGACTGAGAGTGAATGTATTGGCAACGAAGTACTGAAGATTGTTTGTGTTTTTTGTCAGACGTTGTACAGACAATCATTAATACCTCAATATTAACATAAATGGTGACAAAAAAAAAAAAACCTTCATAATAAGAGTATGTTTTCAAAGGGCCTTTTTAGGATTTAAAATAAAATCGTCTTTCAACAAAAAGCAATAAACAGCAGAGCAATTCAGATATTGTCGGCCGCTTTGTGCAGCTTTTCTGCTTTGTTTGTGTGTGTGTGTGTGTGTGTGTGTGTGTGTGTGCATTTGTGCATGTGTGTGTGGCTAACTCACCCCAGCTGGTCTGTCAGGTTCCACAGTACATCGGGTGTGGGCATTAGTGGTGAACCGTCATATAAAACCACTGAGGCTCCCACTGCCAAAGCAGACACCAGCCAGTTCCACATCATCCAGCCAGTCTATGAACAGCACAGATAAACAGAGTGGTCAGTTTATCTGCTATAAACAATCGTGTCTCATCAACATGGATAAAATGGGTAGAAAAACGGACGACCCCTGCAGACTGTGAATTATGTGTCTGTGGTTCACATGATTGTTTGTTGCTCCATGCTGAGCTACGGCTTTGGCACCATCCCCCAGAAATAATGATGGTATTGTTTCTACTGCATGAAAACTGTCCACAGTGCAGAGCTTTTATCTAATTTTAAGCCACATTTTTATGCCTTGGTCATTTTCAACTATGTATTTTAACCTGATGAAGGATCTTATCGTCATCAGACATCTGGATCTTAAGTTATCAGAGAAAACAGCCTAGTAAATGTCAGGCAGCTCGGCTCCCAACCCCTCCCTGACTGACCCGTCTTCGCTGAACTGCTTCAGTCAATCACTGATTTTTTAAAGTGAAACTGCTTCATTCGGGGTGTCTCCCGGTTTTAATCCCCTGGTCCGTTAGTTCTGGACAAAAAGACAATTCTGTGGATAATCCGGCTGCCGTTAAAAACCTCCTGAACGTCTGGATCATAAGCTATCAGAGAAACAATCATAAAAAAGAGCTAGAATCTTCTAGGAACTAGAAATTATACACAGCTCTGACCTTCAGCACTAAATGCTGCTCCTTAGACAAGAACCTGCTTGTGTGTGTGTGTGTGTGTGTGTGTGTGTGTGTGTGTGTGTGTGTGTGTGTGTGTGTGTGTGTGTGTGTGTGTGTGTGTGTAACCAGCCTCTTGATTAATAACACCCCACAATACTAAATATTATACCGCTGCAGATAGCTAAGGTGAGGCAGTAGGTGGGCAGTGGAAAGAGCATAAGGATTCAGAAATTTTCAGTAGCGTGAGTGTTTCCTTCTTTCTTTCTTTCTTTTTTGTGAAAAGCTTGTGGACCTACCGTAGTGTAATAAATGATGACATCACTGCTGGTCATATTGCTATGGAGAATGTGCTCCTTCAAGTGTTGGATAAGTGTGCCCTAAAGAGACAGAGAGAGAGAGAGAGACTGTTAATTTTTGGTTGTTTATTTCATATTTCTGACCGTGACATTTACATTTATTGATTCTAGTCTACTATAGTTCTTTTATTCTGACAGGGAATGAGACAGACAGACAGATACACTTGTAACTCATCCTGACAAATACAGAATCTTTATTTAATAAAGTTTTTACAAAAATATTTTTATGCTCCTTCATTAAGCTGCACAGAAAACAAGGCTTCTACACACAGAAGCACTCCTCTTAACAAAAATGGCAATTGGGGTTAAGTGTGAATTCTCCCACAGTCACCGACACATCACAGTTGGATTGGTAATTATTGCTGGTGTAGAGTATGAACTGCGTGATTGCGTGTGCTTTTGATTTGAGCCTATGTGTACTTTGCTGTTCACACAAACAGGTGGTCCATATATGTGTGTGTGGTGTGTGTGTGTGTATGTGTGTGTGTGCATATAATCTTTGGCAGGACTCAGCTGCCGTGCCCATCCCTCGGTTCGTGCCATCTTGCTGCTGACAGCATGTTAACAGAGCCGTAACAAAGCATAAAGCATAACAGTGCCGGGGCTAATTGGTAGAGGCCAGTGAGGACTGCCAGCGTCACAATACGAAATGTTTTCACCAACGCATTACTGTCCAATTATCAGCGGCATGGGGAGAAGGATGGGGCACAAAAGAACGAGATGGAGACAGAAAGGAAGACAACAAGGGGAAGAAATAAAAGGGTGCTAGAGGAGAGAGGAAATAAAGTAGAGGAATAAACCTAATGAGAGTCCGAAAAGGAGAACTAAGTGGGAGAAAAGGGAGAATATTCATGCAGGTTAAGGACAGAAAAACCAATTTGAAAGAATGATGGGAGGGTAAAAGACTGAAAAAGAGAAGAAAGAATAAAAATAGGTGTCGGAGAGGGAGAACGACTTGTTACGTGAAGCTGCGTGAATACATTTGTGTGTGTTAATCCATTTTGAATGTGGAGTGTTTCAGTCTTCAAAGTGCACTGGTGCTCTTGAAATCACACATCCGTCTACCGCTGTCCCTCGCTCAGATGTGGTATGTAGCAGGGGAAAAAAAATGTCATTCATACTCCCCTTTCGAGAGCAAATAACCTTTTAGCTGATGGAGGTCTGCTGCCATCGTGTGGTGAAAAGTGTAACAGAAACCCAACTGACAAGTAGATGGCTGACCACTGCTGCTGTGATGGGAACAGGTTGGTATAATCTGATCTATTCACCTTCAACAGTGGCTTTGCTCTTAATGTGTCAGATGTGTGTACCATGTCTAGATTTCTCTCTGACAGCTGTGATATTGAGGAAGTGGGAGCTTTTATTCAGGTGGCTCAGGGGGTAGAGCAGGTCCTCCACCAATCAGAAGGTCAGTGGTTCGATCCCTAGCTCCTCCACTTCGTGTGTCCTTGGGCAAGATGCTGAACCCCAAATTGCCCCTGGGAGCTGTTCCATCAGCGTGTGAGTGTGTGTACGGTACGATGGGTATTGTAACGTGCTTCAAGCGGTATTAAAGACTAGAAAAAGCACTATATAAGTACAGTCCATTTACTGGAATCTGGATCATATTGTGAATGATATCACACGTCTCCACAACAGCTACTAAATGGACCATGTGGAGAGACTGCTTTCTCAACTGCTGTGTCCAAGGTCAATAAGTGACTTCAGCCCTCGAACCAGGACGAATGGGAAATTCTTAAAGTGTAAAGAATAATGGAAATTTCACCATTGACAACTTAGCAAACTCTATCTGCTGATGAAGACCATGTGATATGTCTGAAAGCTCCAGAACAGCTTGCGAATGGACCAGGTGGTGAGATTATTTTCTCCGCTTTAGAATTTACACTCTAAATCATTTCTTCTTCTCATGAAAACATGGCTCTGGCCTTTATGAGAGCATCACCATCTTTTCACATTGTTCATGTGTGTATTAATATAAATGCTGTGCACTGAAAATCAAACCGTAGTTCAACCCAGGAGAGTTCTGCAAATATATGTGACCAGCATGTGTTTACAGCTGTGGTCTGTTGAGCAGTAAGAAAAACAATAGCTAAAAAAAAAAAAAAAAGAAAAAGAAAAAAGGGCCAGCTAGTGTTTGTTTTTCCAGATGCAAGCAGCACTATTCCTACATTTACTCTATAAAATGACCCACAGTTTGTGTGAGATATTGTGTTTGTACAGGCTCAACAAACTAACCGAAGCAGAGCCATCCATAGTTTGTAATTACGGGCTAATAGAAGCCAGCGCGTTTCTTACCCCGGCAGAGTGGACCATGCATTTAGGAGCTCCTGTGGTTCCCGAGGAGTACATGATGAACAGAGGATGACTGAACGGAAGCTGCTCAAACTCCAGCTGAGGAAACTGGTCGGCCTCCCCGCGCCCGGACGCCAAGAAATCGTCTATAAATGTACTGAGAAGATGGAGAAGACAATATATCTCTGACCTGCTCTGTGTCGTATATAAAAATATCTATTAACATTTCTTAGTTTTATCATTTCAGTGCGGTTGAAGCCACAGACACACACCTGTTGGGGATCTTGGAGAGGTCAGTCTCGTGTTTGGAGCGAGCGTAGGGAATCACAACTACTTTCTTTAGGTCAGGCAGACCTAGATTTCAGAGAGAGAAAGAGAAGCTGATGCCTTTGTGTTCTCTTCACTCTAAAGCCTTATGGAAAGACAAGAGGGTTCCCAGAGGAATCCCAGTGTTATTTTCATAAAAATGTAACACATTTTGCTTCTTAGCTGAAGTCACTAGAAATGAATTTTAGTAAGGAGCGATGATGCTGAGTAATTCCCTGGGCGCTCCTGTGCTAACACATTAAGATCCGTCTTCATACTGTACATCTATCCTGCACCTGTTCTGCATTATTTCTTCAATTTTGAACACTTGTAAAAACCCAGTAGACCTACTTTATTTTAATCTACTGATCTTGCTCTATACTGTCTCATTCTACTGGTTGGCAGAAATTCTTTCTAGGTTTTACTGGCTATATAAGAGACCAAAAACATCTCTAACAATATCAGACAAAGGCCTCGAATGATAATCTTAAAAGAAAGAAAAATGTAAAAATACGAATGGTCAGACACGTCAGTCCATAAGCAAATGTGATTGCCAACCTTTGACAACACTGGTCAGCTTTTCCATGTGGTCATGTGTTTTGCCGTTATAAACCACAGCGGCAACAGAGAAGATCAGTTTGGGCTGGATTTGAGAAAATCTGTCAAGAACACCCTGCCGATGAGAAGAGAGAGAGAGAGAGAGAGAGAGAGAGGAGAGAGAGAGAGAGAGAGAGAGAGAGGAAGGTAAAACTGATGAAAAGCAAATAATCACAACAGCAGAAAACCTTCAATTCTACAAATACCTTCCAGGGAATGAGAGATAAAATGAATTTTACTAACATGCACAAGAAAAAACCTGGAGTGGTCATGGTTGAAAGATTTACATCAGGGGAGTAAGAGTAGTTCTCTAATCTGCCAGAAGGGGCAGTAGCACGTCAGAAAACAAAAAGCAGAGACCAAGATGACAGAAGGAGCATTGATGAAGAAGCTGCTGCAGGATGAAGTTAATTACACTCACGCTCATTCACTCACACACATGACATCTTGCTTAACGGACTTCATTACCTTTTTACTCAATGTATATTGTTATGTGTATGTGTGTCGTGAATCCCCTATAAGAACTGATACAAGACAGCCGGCCCAGTGTAGCTCAGTAGAAGAAGAAGGGCTTTGCGAAAATTAGAGATAGAAATTGCCACTGTGACACTAGTACTCAAATACGCACTCTACTGGTGCTGGTAGGTGCTTTGTCTAAACCAGCACATTAATTACTGAGAAAATTAAATAGAGAAAGAATAAACAAATACGAGCCACAAACAGTTTAAAACAGAATCCTTACGTTGACCCCAAAGTCGACAGACGTGGAGCTCCAAATGGCCCCGATGCTGGCGGCTGCTAACATGGCCTCCACTGCATGGATACCATTAGGTAGGTAGCCTGGAGGAGGAGAGAGGGGAGGAGGAAGAGGAAGAAAAACATTAGGTTTAAGTGCAAATCTATTAGAGTCTTTCTTATAAAAGAAAAAAATATACTATAAACATATGTGCACAGACGTAGGGTATATTTTTTTTGGGGGGGGGGTATTGTGAGATGGCATAATCTGGTTAAAAAGGAGAGAGAGTGAAAAATGAGAGTGTAAAAGAAGAGGAGGAGTGAGGGAGGGAGAAGCTCTCTTTATTAACAATATGGGAAATGGTGCCCAAGGACAGTACGGGTTTTACACAGACGGTCAGTGAGGGAGAGAGAAAATCAGAGAGACATTTATTGATAAATGCACTAAAGAAAATGAAGAATAACAAACAGGGATGAACAATATTGAAATTCTTACCATTACTCATAGTCATTCACTTGCATGTAAACTTTGGCCAACACCAATAAAGACAATCTGCATGTCAGTGCTGCAGGAGTAATGACTCCAGTTTCCACTAGTGGTGGATTTACTATATTCTATACACTTTATCTGTGATGCTTGGTGTCTATACATCCCTTCAGTCATGACTAATGAGAAATGAACAGAATGTCAGATACTAACTCCATTCAGTCAAAAGTTATATTCAAAAAAGAAAAGAAAAATCGTCTATTAGGACTAAAATAAATGAAAAATCAGACTAATGTACTTATGATTAACTAATTAATCATTATTATATTACATACATCAGACATATATCAGCCCTAATACAGATAATATATTTTTAAGTATGAAGTAGTACACGAATGGCCACTGCCCAAATGACTCCACACAGGAGCTCCCATGCTACCTTTAAACACAGGGCTGTTTTGTTGATAACATGTATCTAATCTTAACGTGATAAAACTATGATACAGCCGGTAGTTCCCAGCAAGCAGTCCAACTGGTCAAAGGCAAAAGGCAACCATACTGTCACCTCCTGTGAATCATGTCTAATCAGGCTTTAAAATTGGTTGCTATGCTGACTCCTGCTGTAACCAGGAAGCTGATCCGGGCCAGATGACACCTCGGGCTGACAGATCACCATCCTGCTACATTGACTCCTGCAGACACTCATAAATTATTATCTTCTAACACTGGATCAGGACAAATAGCGTCATGGATCATAATCTCACCACAACACCCATGCCTGATTGCTTTCGTGGCTACTGCTATATCTGGCTATGCTGTGACAACACTGCTTTCACGTCAACCCATTGCCCGTACTATCTCTTTACTCATGCATGCTACTATAAAACTTTACAGGTCCACATTCTTGTTGATAACCACTGATTTAAAGCCAAACTTTAATAGGTACTGACATCACTGCTTTACTACTTCTACATAAATGCACCATCCTTGTGCTACTGTTCTAACATTCGGCTACTACATTTTGTTTTGTTTTTTGTTTCTTTCTTTATTATTATGCCAATTTATGACACAGATTAATCCCAAGGACTAAAGCAGTGCCACAAGAAAAGAAAACTTTGATTATGCCTGCCAGTTAAAAAATGATTAGGAAATGAATAAAGGTTTGTTTGCTCTGTGGAATTTTCATGTAAACAAACAAATTTGTGTTTACATAAAGCATTACTCACCATTGTGTCTCTTCTTCCTCATAAAACTAATGCAATGCTATTTATTTTTTTTTATTTCATCATGCATTGTTTTCATCCATGTTTACTTGCTAGCAGTTTGCTTCTTCACTGACATCGTGTTTGTTGACACATTATCGACACCAGTGTTGATGAAATAACAATAGATGAAATAGGATGAAACCAACAGCAGGTTGTGAAATGCAGTTGCATCTTTGTGTGTGTGCAGAAACAAGTGTACACAAACAAGACACTGCTCCATATGGCCACAAAGAGCAAGTCAGTCAAGTTCAGTACTTAGATGTTACAGGATCACTGTTGGAACAGATTTCTTAAGTCATCTGGAAATCTCTGGGTGGAGTCAGATGAGGTTTTGTCTTTTAAATAACACTTTTTTTTTATAAGTTTGTAAAAGCAGCTTTGATTAATACTAAATAAGAAAATAATATCTGAATGAAAGTAAATTTCTTGTTTTTACCAGCACACTGTTCTTTCTGCTAGTATCGCCTCATTTGGAATAACACACAGCCATATTAAACAGGACATGTCACATGTAGTGTGTTTTGAGTCATCTCCCATGCCACACCTGCTCAGAGCAAGGGTGTGTGCTAGAGCAGAATGTGTGTGTGTGTGTGTGTGTGTGTGTGTGTGTGTGTGTGTGTGTGTGTCCTGCTGGTTACTCAAATGTAGCAGCTGCATAATGAGTTGAAGTTTCAGACATGTCATTTCTATAATTCAAACAGTTTTCATGTGTTTGTTACATATTATTTTACGTTATGATGCTGCTACAGTTTTCTTTCATATGACTGACTACACATTCATATTAGTCAACAGTAAGACTCTGGTTGCACAGCGTGTATTTTTGATGACACATAATTAAAAGAATATGCTTTCCCTGGTGGATGAAGAGTGGGTGTGAAGGTCATAAGCTTTGTAACAGGGTGGGGGTGACGTTGAGGATGACGGGACCAAGGCGAAGAGCAATGGAACAAAAACGTGCACGAAAGAGAGAATACATGTGTGTGTGTGTGTGTGGGCGCGTGTGTGCGTGTGTGTGTGTGTGCTGGGCTGGCTCATGTCCTGCTATAAACCTTGGCTGGCTTCATCAGCTAAGTGCTTATATATCTCCTGGATTACAGACACTGACACGACATTTTTAGTTACAACCTGGGGACACACAACACACACAAGTGAGGAGACACATTCAAACACACACACACACACACACACACACACACACACACACACACACACACACACACACACACACACACACACACACACACACACACACACACAAAGATTTGTCTTTAGATTGGTAAGAGAAAAAAAGCTGATGTCTCTCTCTCTCTGTTGTTTCTCTAGCTTGCTCTCCCTTCCTGTCCCTCGCTCCATCCCTCCCCACTTTCAAATGAGATTCCCACAGAGCTTAAGTGATTTAGCTAATGGATTTCCCTACCGCAAGATCCATCTTTCTTCTGAACGCACACAAACTTTCATACACGTCCTGGTCATTCCTGGACAGAGTAGCTCAATATGAGCTCATGAACAGCAAACATAGATGTTAGTCACATTGCTGCTTCTAAATAAAGGCAGGGAACCTTTTCAATATATAGATGCCCAGCACAGCTTCAGGGTCTCCTCAGTTTTGTGACAGAGGTCAGAATGTTTCTTACACACTTGTGATTGTGCAGATTTTCATCCTTTCATTTTTTGCCAAATTTCTGGGTCATTGTAGCTCAGATGTCAGATATTTTCTCTTGCTCAGCTTTTGAACAATGATAAAAAAAAATCCAAAAGCATTTTCTTTAACCTCTGAACTACTGTGTTTGTTATCTGTCATCTTTATCCAGAGACAAAAAGGTATGAAACCGAAAGACTTTGTTTAAGAAAAGATGTTAAATCTAACTTTGCTTCGTTGCTTCCAACAGTGAAAAGCTCAGAAATGTGAGATGCTAATGTTTGACAACCCAGTGTAACCGAAGCCCCTGATACTAACACAGCACAAACAGCTCAATATGCATTTCTGTGTCATGACGGGAAAAGTGGCAGAGAGCAGAGATTGAAACAGAGACACGGGCAGATAAAGACTCAAGTGACATTCACAAAACTCAGAGCTGTTCTTACAATAAGCAATGAGGAACTGCTCGTTTGAGAAATCAACTCTCCCCTCCCCCCTTTTTTTTTTTTTTTTTAAAGATGAAAAGATTTGTTAAGTCACTGTGTGAGAGACACTGCTACATAATAGTAATGTGGTTCTCGTATGTGACCAATAATGAAGGAAGAGTCGTCTGCAATACTAAACAGATGCACCAGATGAAGTTAAACAATACAGAACTGAGCTGGATTTAAGCTGATGCTAAATTTCATGCAAAAATCAGCAGAGACAGCCATGATTTTGACCAAAGTCTCCATAATAGCCGAATAAACAAATTAGAATTTTGTATAGTTCGTAATTTTTGGTATGGTTGTGTATTTTGAGATCATTTTGATGCCACCAAACATAATTTTTTTCTGCTGAGCATTTTCAAAGCCAGCACCGTGGCAACAAGTTAAGAAAGTGACAGAAATAAGCTCTTAAAAGCATTTGACACTTCAACTGTTTTCAGAAAATGTACCGGCCGCATATTGGAGCGTGGAAATGTGCATGACATGCATTAAAGCTCCTGTTACTGCACTGGCAGCACTGCTCAGTGAGAGACCGCGTGGCTCTGTATGACTAGCCTGTTACAGTGGTGCCTTGCAGAAAAACAAATATTAGCTTTGAAAAAAATAAATGCTGACATTCAGAAAGAGCTGCGACTTGTGCCAAGACGGCCATCCCTCCTTGCCAGTGCACACTGACACACACAAGTAATGGTAAAATGTCCAACTTGTTCTGCAACAGGCTGCAAGTAATCATCAAACTTACTTACTTAAAAAAATAGGACTGGAGAGGATGAAGAAGACAGAGGGGTAAAAAGAAATAAGTGGCCACTAATCAGAAATCACTTGGCTGAAGAAAGTTATATAAAACATATACATATATATATATATATAGACAGAGAACAATAAATCTGAGACTCACCTACAACCCTGTCTCCAGTCTGGACTCCCATCTTCCTCATGGCTGCGGCAAACAACGCCACATCACGCCTGAGCTCCCCAAACGTGACCTTCACAATCTCCTCATTTGCCTCCGCTGGTAGACAGGAAGAGAGAGTGAGACACAGAAACAGAGATTAATATTATGCAAATTTCAAATGATTCAGAAAACTGTAGGCATCTACATATATTTTTGATTGATTTGGACATTTTAGATTTCGTGTACCACTTTGTAAAATGATGTTCTTATTAATGAGTACATACAAATCCAAAGCAAAGAAAAAGAAAAGCAGGGAGGCAGAGATGGAGACATAAATAGAAGCAGAGAGTGTGGCAGGACAGAGGCACAGACAGCAACAGTCCTATTATGTCTGTAAGTAATAGTTTCCTGACATTCACAGAGGCTCCACAGCATTGTGACCGATGGGCCCTCTCATAATTAGATTCCACCTTCTGAGGTAGTTTGTGTGCATGTGTATGTGTCTGTGCAGGAGCCCACTCTCCCACATACACACATGCAGCAATAAAGAATGGCCTATCCATTAATATGTGACAGTCCTAAGAGGTGGAGCAGGGAGCAGCAGCTATTATAACACAGTGACGTATGCAGCCTGACGCTCCCCCGCTGAATCGCTGCTGTGCTCAAATGTACCCTCAACGCCGTTCTTTCATGTCCTCCAAAAGTCTCCTTCTCCTAACAAATACAAATTCTGAAGATGAAATAAAAAGGCGAGGAAACACAATCTGTGCGAGTCAGCAAAGAAAAACCCACACCCCCAATTGACGAACACACACAGGAAGGAGAAACCAAACTTGTCAAAAACATCAGAATGCGCAAACACTAAGTAAGGCAAACAAAAAAAATAAACATGAACGGGCTCTGCATGATATATGTAAAGGTGTGTTCAGGTGGGAAAACATCGCTGTGTTGTGTGACTTTAAGAATGAATGTGTGTGCTAACATGTGCGCTTTTTGCTCTGTGCATCGAGTCAACGTTGCCAAGATGAGGGATTTGATTCCTACCGGAGATTACTGAAGGCACCACTTAAGGTGCAGCACTGTTGCATACTGTATATTGCTGTATATTACATACTACAGTTATTAAAATCAGCATCACCTACTCCATATACTTACTTGCAGCGTATAGAGCCACTTTGTCCTGGTCTGCGTGTTTGAGCAGGTTCTCGGCGTAGTTAAGCCGAGCCCCTTTAAACCACTCGGGAACATCTGAGATCCGCTTGGATACATCCACCACCTGGTACACAACATTAAAAACACACAACAAGGACACACAGGGGAGAGTCACAACACTGTCACTGACCCAGGCTGTGAAATTTACAGCTTTGGTGATCTTGCTGGCAAATACTCACACCAAAGTCTTTCCTTGCCAATAATGTTTGTTATTTTTCACACTTATCAGACACATATCTCTACTACAGTCTCCTCTTTACTTGCTTACTCTGTACTTGCAACAAAACTTCAGCAAGACATCCAATTTGTCAGAAAAATTCATTGCAACATTGGGATTTCGCAGCCTAGCCCACTGTGCATCACTGTTACACATTGATTGACTGAATAATTGTCTCCCTGTCTTCTATCCAATATTTGCTGGGCCTGCAGCAGTGGCTAAGAAAATGTATGATAAAAGAAGAACTTCTGGCCAGCATGTGACGTGGAGTGTGTTTTCCATGTGTACAGAAGGGGTGTGTTTGACAACATGGCTCAATGTCATAAGCTCAGACATCATTTGTTACCTCACACACCCACCCGAGTGGCTATATCCTGGAACTAAGCAACATTAAGAGGCTGGACAGTAAATTAAATAATGGGGACACAAATGAAGATACTTTAAGTTTAATTTTTCCAACTGGCTTTTTAATGTAGCCTTGATAAAATAGAAGATTACTTCCGTTCCACTGAAAATAAACGACTGTTCACCAACTCATAGCACAACAGTGACGTAATTTAGTCATTTTTATATTTAAATCATTTGGGAAACAATTTTTTGTTGTTTTTTTTCTTTCATTTCTGCATATGTACAGAAGAGAAAAGAGAGGCAGTTCGATTTAAAGTTAGAAACCAAAAACATAATCAAACCATCAAATATCAATCAAATCAACATGGTCTTACTTCCAGCCAAAATCCATAATAAGATCATGTTTGCATTAGTACACTCATGGGCTAAAGTTTACTCTTACTAAAAGAAAGTGAAAGGCTGACTGTGGCTTCCTTCATACACTTGGGTTCCAGAAAAATCACTCCATCACTGAAGTGAAAGGTCAAATCATGAATAGTCCAGGTGGGAAAAATTTGATTGCCAATCAAATGGCTTGACAGCGTTTATAGACAAACACCTTAAAAGTTTAAATTCACATTAGTGTATGCGTATGTGTGGGTGGTCTCTGAAAAAGGTAAGAAAATCATAAAAAAGAATTAAACCCAGTAACCTGAAGGCTTAAATAACAAGTGGGCTGCCTGGATACCAGGACTCATTTACAAAAGCAGACAGAAATGATTAATATTGATATACAGGCCTATTGACGGCTCGTACCCACAAAGAAACTTATAGATTTAATGTGAATGCAACAATGCAACATTCTTTCAAATGAAACATCATGGAAAATGGCATGCCAAAGGTAGGAATATTACAGCACAGGCTCTACACCTGTGTTAACACCAGCTGCTCTTAATTGGGCTCAATCAGCATAACCAGGAGAAGCAGACATGAAAATAGAGCAAGAATTATCTTAAAATGGAAGGAATGTCAACGAAACTCTATCAATATGGGACTTATAGTACTTACAGATCACTGGATGTACACAACAGTCAAAACAAAGGCAGTACGCCTGTTTTGGAATTTAATTTGCTTTTAGAGGAACCCAGAGAAACCCTCCTCAACATGGAACATACCACTCTAAGAGGTGGGGGGCATAGACCAAGTGGTACTGGCCTGTTTTTATTTTTTTATTTTACAATTTTGAATCATTTATGAATCCTGAAGTTTATACTCTTAAATTTGATTTGAAATTGTTCTGCTTCATGAATGTGGCCCAATAATTGCAGGTTATGGCCACATGTCTGTTTAAAAAATAATGTTTGAGATGTGCCATTAAAGGGAGTTAATATCCTACCTGTCAGTAATAAGAATGTAACAGACTGACAAAGTTGAAAATTACATAAAAAGAGAAAACTCCCACAGGTGAATCACTGGTCATTCATAGAATCTTTATGAGTCATTTGTGGGTATTATTACATTCTAATAATTAGATTTTATTTCTATTTTTATTGACTTCTGATTTTAGTTCTTTTTATAATGATGAATATGGCTGGTGAATTTTGGGTTGACATCAAAACCATTCTACTTATAGTTATGATGGACATGATGTGACAACAGAGGTTGGACTCACCTCCTCATATGGTTTGGAGCCGACTACTCCACAGAAGCGCCACACTTCTGCCCAGAACTCTGGGTAGCTCTCCACCGACCACTGGTACAGGTCATTGTAGTTAACTAGAGGAATGAAAACCAGTGATTACAACAGATTTATAATAAAATATTAATTTGTAAGAAAAGATCAGACATCGCTTCATTTAGCACAGGGAGGGAAAGTGGTTTCATACAACATCATTGGTTGAAATCAGCCTCTGTGTACCTGCCCTGTTCCACTAATAACCATCAACTAAACCATAAACCAAAGTACATTTCAACAAATTATGGCCTTTTGCTCTGCAAATCTGAGATTAACACTAATAATCTCCACACGATTTAAAGATTAATGCCAAAATGTCAAAAGTCATAAGTGATCTCAGTTAAACTAAATCAGTGGGTGCCTGTATTCTCTCTACACTGTTTGTATTTACATCTACATTTTAAGACAATCCCCTTATTCAAGGCGTTTTCAAAGATGTGGCTTCTTCATTGACATCCAGTGACCAAGAGAGAGAAAAGCAGAGGTCAGGGTGAGTAAAATAAATGCTGGCAGATCTGCAAATATAATTTAAAGCAGTTGTCTCCAGCCTTTTTGGCTTATGACCCTTTAATGCTTACTGGTAAATCACTAACAAGCTTGCAGGTGTCTTTGAGCTACAAGCAGCTCGACCAAAAACTGGTGTTGTCTTCTCAGGTTGATTGATTTTGAATGTTCTTTTATGTGCATGGATGCATTTGGAAAAAGAAATTCGGCTGACCAGGTTTTTCATCATTCCTTCAAAACCCTGTTGGTTTGCCTTGACACGTTATCAGAGAGACAATTAAACTAGGGCATCGCCTGGCAGCTCTGTTAGCACAGTCCAAATCCACACATTAAGGCAAAGCAGAGCTGCAATGTTGTTTATTATTACAAAGGGAGTGGTGAGTAGGTTTGATGCCAGACTCATTAATATTTTTAATGGCTGCAGAACAGCTAGCTTGAAATGTTGCATTGGAAAGCAGCTTTAAACGGAGGCAATTTTGAGGTAATAAACTGTCTGTTAGAAAATACATGTACTGACACATTGCAGAGGTAGAGACACCGTCTATTTTTGTGTTTCTATCCAGCTTCGTGGGCTCAATAAAATCCGACTTGTTTCCATTCCAGCACACCTACTCTCTCTCCCTCTCTCTCTCTCTCTCTCTCTCACCCTCTCTCTGTCTGTCTGGCTCCTTGTCTGTGTCCCTCCCTCTTCTCTACTCACCCAGATTAAGTCCGTAGTCCCCGCTGACCTGTATCCTAAACTTGTCCATCTGTGTGTTCCTCTTGGAGTCCGGGTACCACAGCACCTTGCTCTCCATATCCATAATTTTCTCGCTTTTCCCTTCAGTGTCTTTAGACATCTTTGTTGCGTCCCTTCGTCGGCTGCCAAACACCGGTTAGCGCGAGTCCTGAGCGCCCTGCTGAAGCTAACTGTCCCTGAGGTGGGGGCTTGTGTTAAATTAGATCACCGGGTACTAGCCTCTTAGTCAGAATGGCTCGGGTATTAAAGTGCGCGACAGCTAGCAAGGCTTACTGTCAAAGACAAGCGTGGGGATACCACGGAAAACTGACAGGCCACGCCCCAGCGCCATGACGTGAACGAGTGAGCTGGGTTCAAGAGCGTTGATTGTTCAACGCTGTTATACAGAATATACATTACATAACAGCACCCGAACTGAGAACCAAAGTCATCTTTAAAACGGGCCCCATGAGGGATTTTTGAATTGATATTTAATTATAGTTTCTGAAAAGTCTCTCAGTCTTCAGTATAGATTGTTATATGCATACTATTAATCATCTATAAATTCTAACATCAATATGTTAACACCTAATTATGATATATGTGGGATTAAGTGAACATTTCAGGCCAGCAAATGAAGTTGAATGAATCAGACCACTTATATTAAAAAGTTACCAAAGTATTAGCATAACTTGATGAGTTGCATGTTTTTACATTTTCTCTGTCTAACTTAAAATATGATATACCCAGTATATGAAAACACATCCAGATCCTTGAAAATCCTAAAAACCTTTAATCTCACCAAATCATAATTTGTTTAATTTCATTCTTTCATGTTTCTTACTGTTTAATTCAAAATATTCCTAAAATCTAGAAATTAGAGATATTTTGTAACAAAAAGTGTTATTTGAATGCAGTGGCGCAATATGTAACTAAGAAGATTTATTCAGTTACAGTAACATTTTTTTATGTACTTGAGTTATTTACATTCTTATGCTACTTTATAACTGTACTTCACTACATTTCGAAGGCAAATGAAGTGCTTTTTGGTCAGCCTTGACAAACTGATTAGTTGTATTAATATATATATATATTAAATACACTCTTTTTAGTTTTGTAGCTCAGTAGGCTCCTGGCCACACTAATGTTCTCTTGGAACATGTGTTAGTTTGAATGTCAGTGTTAAAAATGTTGTGGTTGCATGTCTCACATACATTGTCTGTTACCTGTTGGTCCTGTGTCTCTTGCTTTTGTCACATGGGTGACCAAACTAGTTTCCCCTTTTGGGGTTTAAAAAGATATCCAATCTAATGTACAGTTGATCACAGTTACTAAGGTATTTTAAAGATTGAGATTTTGCATTAAGAAACTATGATCAGTTTATAGAATATAATGTAGTGTTCCTACAATAAACTTATATAATGCCATCAAAATGCTACTGACATGTTAATGCATCAGTGATAATAACCTATGAATATAATATACGATTGACAGGGGTCACTCTGCTCCATGAGTGAAACTTCTATTTAATTTAAGTGTATTTTGCTGATAATACATTTATTTTCCCTTAAAGAGAAAAAAATATATACATTTCGTCAATTTTAGAATTAACCCCGTAAAAGTCTTGAACGTCTCCCACACGTGAACGCGCGATTGAATTGTATAGTCGTGTTTCACGTGCACGGGAGAATCTTGCCTGTCAAAATGAAGGAATTTGATTGGTCCGCAGCGAACTGGTTCCACATCAGCCGACATATCGGTCTATGCGGGAGGCGTATCGTCCCCGTTTGACTGGCGTCTCGTTGGATCAACCGGAAACTGGCTTTTGGTGTTGCAAAGGAGACATATTGGCCAATCAGAGAGCGAGAACGTACGAGCGTTTTAGGGGTGTGCCCAATCAGTGAGGGGGAAGAATGACCCTCCTCACTTTGCGGTGGTGTCATCTCAACTTGCTGGAAAATATCTTCTGTAGTTTTGTCATACCATGTCCTGTCTAGCCTAATCTAGTTTGCATTGCTGTATGTCCACAATTTGTCTGCCCTATTAATGACAGTTTCATCTACCTTTGGACACTTTTTCTTACCACAACCTGATGTACTTGCAGTTTCTTAAAATTAGTTTGACGTGTGATTTAAAGGCCTGCTTATTGATAGACTCTCATTTGCTTTTCAGTCCCTCAGGCACCATGAAAACCCCAGTGCCCTTCACTGTTCATTGTTCCTTCACATTCAGCTTCCAGGTGCAAATGGAAATAGGCCTATAATCCGTCTACATTAAACATTAGCCTAAAAGCCACTCATGCATGTGTGCGGTAAAAAAAAAACACACAGAGACACAAACCAAAGGAGAAAATAAACCACACTGAATTAGCCATCTGTGGCCACATTATTTTCCTCAAATGCAACAGTGAGTGAAGATCTCCATGTGACACGACGCTGACATTTTACACCGCTGCATGTTCTGGCACAGCTGGTACCATAAAGCAGAAAGACGGAACAGACTTGGCTAACAAAAATGTTGTAATCTGTCTGATAGTATTTTGTAATGTAGGTATCAATGACCTTAAAAGCTGCAGGCACCCAGAGTTCAGATTGCAAAAATGGAGGCCTCATATCTCAAACCTGAACTCTTATACTCTGAAACCCAAACAAGTCATTTTTTTAATAAATATATGCTGTGATTTCACATGAGGAGCACTCAGTAACAACACTTGTGTTATCTGATTCGCAGAATTATTATATGGTATATCACTCTGTAAATCACACTGCCTGTCATGTTTTGGCTAATGTCTGTAAAATGGATTGTGGTAAGACCTTGATAAAAGCATTAGACAAAACACAGGAAACAGTGTGGGTTGCCACAGACCTCAGAAAAGGGACCAAGAGCATGACTCAGGGGGTAGATGTAAAAGTAAAGAGTCCTTTCTTAGAAAGAACCAAGCAGGCCAACCAATTACAAAGGGTCGGGGTCTAGGCAAATCCAAAACACACAGATAAGGTCAAAAACACAATCAAGATCAAAACATGTGGGCAAAGAACAGAGTGCTGCAAAGCTAAGATACATGACGATATGGCAAAGAGCAAGTGGACATGAACCAGTATAGGGAGCTACGGAGGGAACGCTGAACAGGTGAGCAGGTGAGTGTGGAGGAGGGGCCAGGTGGGAGTGGCAGTGTCTGAAATGCAGAATTAGAACATTCAGTCCTAACAACTGGGCTGAATGAAAGAATGAATGAGCAGACTGAAATTCGAAACCATGACATATGAGTAGGATATAATAATATGATATGACGATACGTGGAGATGAATGAAACGTCCTGTTTTCTAAATATGGATAAATTCTGAGAAGTACGTGGGGGTGACTGGAATAATGTGAGTGGCATATTGTGTCTGATTCAAACTCCGTGCATACATTATTAGCCAAAAGTGTCTTGACTTTCAAGAATCTCAAGGGCGGATAGAAATTTTGGTCTAATACAAAAAAAAAAATTTAACAAATTAACTATGGCATGAAACACTTGAATTTCTTCCAGGTGCAACAATTAGCCATGAGAAGCCAATGTCCCTTTCTCTGTGTAACATAAATGTCCGTGGTGAAAAGAGGTGCACTGTACTAGATCAAAGGCCCTACACAATGAATCTGTACTGAACCCACAAAGTGTTTAATACACATATGGGTAAATGTGCTTTTGTCCCATCAGACCATTTCCGTCTAGCTGCTTTATCATAGAGGTCTGACTGATGGAGTGGTGCTGAGATGGTCATCCTTCCAGCAGGTTCTCCCATCTCTGTAGACGACTTCTGAAGCTCTGTAAAGTGTTGCCCATTGGGTTCTTGGTCACCTCCAACACCAAGACCCTTCCTGCCTGATTACTTAGTTTGGCCAGTCGGGTCAAATACCTGCTTCCAAATTTCTTCCTTTTATTTATTGAGGCAACTGTGCTCCTAGAAACACACTCAGAGCCTTAGAAATTGTTTTATACCCTTGCCCTGATTTATGCCTCCCCATAATTTTATCACAGAGGTCTACAGAGAGTTCTTTGAATTCCATGGATTTATTTTTGTTTGTTTTGCCACAGGTAGACTCAAGTCAAGTTCTAGACACATCTCAATGATAATTAAAGCAAACAGGATGCATCTGACCACAGTCTGGAATGCCACAGCAAAGGGTCTGAATAGGAAATAAGAGATTTCAGCATTTGTTTTTTAATACATTTGCAGAAAAGAGTGAGGATAAGTCATTATGGGCCATTATGGGCCATTGGGTGTAGTTGGCTGATCAGACATTGAAATTGACCTGAAATAAACCCTAGCTTCACCCCACAGCAAGCATCTCTTTTATCTGTTTATCCTGGCTCTGCCTCCACATCAGCAGTCCAGCATTCTGCAGTCCAGCTAAAATTCACATTTTGTAAGCAGCAGTGTCCACATCTGTCATTTTGTTTCTTCGTGGTATTCTCTCCCAATGATTGCCCTTTGGATGCTGTGATGGAAAATGTGTAATATGCACAGTGTAATTTTTGCTTAACATTTTGCAATGCATTGCATTTATCTTATAATCTTATCCAGAACAACCTACAATGAACCCAACAGGGCAAAAAGACAAACTGCTGAGTCAACCAAGTATGTCTATAAGTGCTCAGTTTTGTAGTATGATATTGCAACAGAAATGTATTGGGTGAAGGCTGATGAATTAAAAACTGACTAACAGACAGAAGCTTTTGTGCTTTCTTTGGATCCTAAAGGGACCCAAAGTGAACCTAATGATGTAATCAAAAGCACCTTGTGACAGATGGTAACTACGGGCCTCTCTGATTTGCAGTATTATATGTTATCTTAGTATATGGTAATAAAAATATTGAGACCTAAATTTGTTTTTTCCTGAAAATTCCTTCAATCCTTCTCAAGGCATTTTCCATGCATCTGTTTTCCACCATTCACTACATAGTTAATGCACATATTGACCAGTGCACATATATATTGATATATTTTCTCATTCTAAATTTAAAAAGTATACATTATCTCTGAGTCCTAGGAGTATTTCAGAAAGGAGGCTAAGACCCAAATTAAAGCTAAGAGCATTTGTCTAACTGACACCTGATTATGTCAAAATAAACTGCATGAGCACAGCTTTAAATCACAGACCTGAGAAGCCCAGCACGGTTAAACAGCTATCAAATAAAGTATACAGTATAAGACCAAGCACTGTGGGTTTCATTAAGCAAATAAAGTAAAGATACA